ATTGTTCGAGGAAAACAGAAAAAATGCATTTATTTACACACTTGCATGCGCACGCACGCGCGCGCACGATTAGTCATTGTCTTTGTCTGACACACTGTCTTCCGAATCTCCCTTGTTCGAAATGTCCTCCCACAGCACCTCATCCTCCGTGCCATCAAGCGCGTTTGAGATGGAGCTTTTGCCTGCCTTTGCCTGCAGTAGCTCGATGTGCACAGCAGGTTGTGCAGCTCGTTGCTCCCGAACAAAGTCCGTCAGTTCTCGTTCCACGTCTGGAAATGCTCCATTTTTCGGTCCCCGGAAACTTTTTCTCTTGCCGCAGCATGCAAAAAGGGCTTCCTTCTGCTTCCGCCAACCGCGAATGCTCCGCTCATTCACGCCGAACTGCCGCTCCGCGGCACAGTTGCCGATGGTTTCGGCAGCAGAAATAACTTTCCTGTTAAAGGCAGCCGAGTACTGCCTGCGCGGTCCCGACATGGCTTAAAATCACGTAAAATCGTGGCCGTCGTGATGTGCGCCAAGTGATTGCAATGGCCACTGTTGCTCGCCTTATGCATGCCTGTACCTGTAGGTCTCTAGGACTAATGCCGCTCACGCTACCACGCCACCTAACGTAGAAGTGCGCAGACACCTGATAATGATGATAGCACCAACCAATGCCGAAACCAAAACTGAATTCGGGCCGAAACTTTTTTGGGATCCGCATATAGTACGGGGCTGAAATTTTGCACCCTAAATTTTAGAAAAAAACCCCGGGCTATACGCGGGTTTTTACGGTATCCAGGAACTTTTACACAAACACACACCTAAGGTTCTGTGCGTACAAGAGAGAGAGACACCTGAAACCTAAACACACCAACTTTTTACGTCATTACGTTACTTTTCGGAAGGACCGGAATGATGCCATTGTGCCATCCGGTGGTGCTGCCATTATAGTCAATCAAAGGATTGCATGCATACACCTACCATTACAAACATTCCTTGAGGCGGTGGCTGTTCGAGCAGTTTTTTTGAATAAGTTCGTCACCATCTGCTCTCTCTACATACCTCCACAACACCGTCTTGGAAAGCATGAATTCGAGTCCCTCATAGACGAACTTCCAGAACCTTATATTCTCCTTGGAGATTTCACTGCACATAGCAATCTATGGGGTGACTCTCGCTGCGATGCTCGAGGTCGCCTGATTGAACAGTTCCTTTTTTTCCCTCCGGTGCATGCCAGCTGAATCGAAAAGAGCCAACATATTACAACATCGCTAACAATACGTTCTCAACAATAGACCTCAGCATAACATTCCCATCACTCCTGCCTTTACTTAAATTGGAAGTCATTAATAATCCATATGGTAGTGACCATTTTCCTATCATTGTCAGCACATCAATAACAAATACATGTCCTGTGCAAGTTCCCAAATGGCTCACCGACAAAGCCGATTGGGAAATGTTTCAAAAAATGACTCTATTACCTTTGACTGACATGGCGGCGTTGAGCATAGAGGATGCTGTGTGCTACTTTACAGCTTTCTTGGTTGATGCAGCAACGAAATGTATTCCCAAAACATGTGGACCGTCAAGCAAACGACGAGTCCCATGGAAGAATAATGAGTGCCCTGATGCTTGAAAAAAAAACAAAACAAGGCATGGAAGTTGCTTAGAGACTTGCCCACAGCTGAGAATTTTGTAAACTTTAAGAACGTCAAGTCGCAAGCAAGGAGGACACGCCGACAGGCGAGAAGGCAGAGTTGGCACAAATTTTTATCAGGCATTAACTCATACACAGATGAGTCGAGAGTCTGAAACATGGTTGGTAAGGTGGCAGGACAAAAAGCACATTCACTTCCATTAGTGAACACACAAGGGTAGAGTTTGTAAGACCAGGCAAACACTCTCGGAGCGCACTTCGAGCATGTCTCCAGCTCATCACACTATAGAGAAGCGTTCCGAAGATACAAAACACAATAGGAAAACAGATTAGAGTGCAAACCCACAATACATGAGGCATACAATAAACCTTTCTGTTTCGCCAAGCTACAAGCCTTGCTTACCTGCTGCAATAAATCTACCCCAGGCCCGGACCGTGTGGCATATGAAATGTTAAAACACCTGCCCATTGAAACCCAAAAAGCTCTCCTCTCCCTGTATAATGCGATATGGTCTTCCAGCGAGCTACCCTCAGCCTGGAAGGAAGCTATCGTTACCCCAATTCTAAAACAAGGCAAGGACCCGGTCTCAGTCTCCAGCTACAGGCCAATAGCATTAACCAGCTGTCTTTGCGAGGTCTTTGAAAAAATGATTAACAGGCGCCTGATGCACTTCCTTGAAAATAATGGCCTACTTGACCCATATCAGTGTGGGTTTCGAGAGGCTCGGTCCATCACTGACCACCTTGTCCGTATCGAGGCACGAATTCGCGACGCTTTTGTTCATAAGCAATTTTTCTTTCTGTGTTCCTCAATATGGAAATGGCATATGACTCTACATGGCGCTTTGGCATATTGCGAGACCTGTCACATTTAGGTGTGCGGGGTAGAATGCTGTCAATCATCGAAAGCTACTTGTCCAACCGAACATTCGGTGTTTGAGTTGGCACTGTCTTGTCTCGAATATTTGTTCAAGAAACAGGAGGGCCACAAGGAGGTTATTGAGCTGCACACTTTTCATAGTTAAAATGAATTCCTTGCACCTGTCTCTCCCACGTAATATTTTTTATTGCATATATGTCGATGATGTACAGATTGGTTTCAAATTATGCAACGTCTCAGTGTGCCAACGTCAGGTTCAACTCCGGGTGAATGAGGTATCTCAATGGGCAGATGAGAATAGTTTTATACTCAACGCGCAAAAGACCACTTGTGTCTTGTTCAGCCGAAAGAGGGGCCTCCATCCTGACCCTGACATTGACCTGCATGGTCAACCTCTGTAAATGAAGACCGAGCACAAGTTTCTTGGTCTCATATTAGACACTAAACTAACCTTCATCCCACACATCAAGTATTTAAAGGACAGGTGCATAAAAACAATGAACATTTTGAAAGTGTTGTCACGCACTACTGGGATAGTGACATGAAATGTCTAATGAATTTATATAAAAGCCTCGTACGCGCACGCCTAGATTACGGTGCTATAATCTATCAGTCGGCAACACCATCAGCCTTGAAGATTCTCGACCCTGTCCACCATCTAGGCATTCGTCTTTCTACGGGTGCTTTCTGAACTAGCCCTGTGGAGAGCCTGCACGTGGATTCGAATGAATGGTCGCTCTGCCTGCAAAGATGTTTTAAAGTACTTTTTGAAGGTGAAGGCAGACAAGAAACATCCTTCCCATTTCACAATTAATGGTTTGTCTTGTTCTGGCTTGTTTGAGAACCGTTCTTCGTTTAGGCAGCCCTACGCGCTCCGTGTAAGGGGCCTGGCCAAAGAAACAGGTGTGCCTCTTCTTGAACACAGTTTGATGGCTCCTGCAACACATCTGCCACCGTGGCAGTGGCAGCTTACAGACTGTGATGTCTCTTTTGTTGAAGTCACAAAGCACGCACCACTTGCACACATACATACATACTTCCTAGAACTACAACATAAATACACATGCCCTGAGTTCTTTACTTATGCGTCAAAGTCCAACACTTCAATGTCATGCAGCGGTAGGCCAATCCTTTTCCGAGGCCGGCGTTCTTCATCCTGATGCAAGCATTTTCACAGGAGAAGCTTACGCAATACTGACGATCGTAAAACACATCAAACAGATAAAATTACAAAAGGTGGTAATATACACAGATTCCCTAAGCGTGGTCAAAGCCCTGAAAACTCCTAAAAACACAAGAACCTCGTGCTGGTGTCACTTTACTTACTTCTGTGCACACTGTACACATCAAAACAGCATGTCATTGTCTGCTGGTTTCCAGGACACCTTAGATACAAGGGAACGTTTTGGCCGACAAGCTGGCTGCTTCCGCCAACGACACTACTTCCAATGCATCTATACCAATCCCTGCACTTTACTTAAAACCTTTTCTAAAACGAAAGCTTGGGGGGTATTGGCAGAGCACGTGGGATAAACACACAGATAATAAACTCCATGCTATTAAGCCGCAACTAGGTTATTGGCCGCCACTATCAAAATCACGACACACAGAAGTAACACTAACAAGGCTTAGAACAGGACATACACACTCTACACATTCATTTCTTCTATATACCGGCAATCCATTATATTGTAAGAGATGTGGAGAACCACTTACGGTTCTCCACATTCTCCACGTGCAATGAGTTAGATGCTCTAAGAAAAAAGCACTTTTTACTGCCCTACCAGCAGCAGCTCCCACTACATCTTGGGATGCTTATCGGTAGGGATCCGCTTTTTAAACTGCAATCACTTTTCACGTTTTTAAACGATGTTCATAGCTTCACCCCATATTTCGAGGCTCTCCGTAGCACGACCTCTGTACCGTGGTCGTGGCTGTGGTGACTACATCTCTGTCATGGTTTTATTATCATGTCATTTTGCCATCCACGTTCAGTGCACATTTCTCACGCCACTGTCATGTTTTTATTACTTCCATGTTTTTACCCACGTTAGCGCGAGGACTTTTAAGGCCCCTTCACAGCCACACATCATATCATTGTTCACATATCTGGTCTTTCGAAATGGCGCTCTTTGGCCATCAATTGGCCCTTGCGCCATTAACAACCACTCATCATCATCATCTTTGAAATACAAACGAAATGGAATAACGCCGAGAAAAATGAAAAGTTTAGAACGTTAAAAATGATGTATTGGCTACCGTACGGTAACCTTGTTCACAGTTCTTCTCAACCAGATGATGCTTCATCAAGCTATCGATTTCGTATTAGAGCTCCTTGAAAAACTGAAGGGGGCGTTTGGCCGAGAGTTTACAATCATAGAAAGAGTCATGAATTTGGTAAGGTGAACAGGTACGAATAATGTGTTACATACCTGGGTTTATTCGTCTTCACATTTTTCGCTTCTCTCGTCAATGCTGCAGGCACTTCCCACCTGAGACGCGCGTGATGGCTGAGGTGATCTTCACTCGCTGCCTCTACGCTCAGCTGCGGCAGCAGCGCTTCGCGCCCGACCGGCGTGTCGGCTGGAACATGCCACCCCCTCACGCTCCCGAGTTCATCGCCCACGACCTAGGCCTCAAATTGGTAAGCGAGGAAAAATTGCCCAAAGCACAACATTGCTTGTTCTAACTTTGACTGATATAGAAATTGAAAAGCTTGTCATCTTCATGGCGCCACAATGCATCTGTCACATTCCCCGGCAGCTAAGAATTGTAGTGATGCTTCACTGCTGTGGATTTTCTGAGAAAAGAATGAATGGTAGACGTACTAGTCAAGTTTTCGGAAAATGTGTTGTGACAGTCGCTGTTTGAAGTGATGGATACCAAAAAGTAAATACTCCAACATGGTCACATATTTATTTCTAACTTACTATGAGTGTTTGTATAGCAATATGAAGCTTTTATTTTAAGCAATCTGAACACTATTTCGGGGTCCCTAGAGAACTTTGGTTGAGTCATCTGATAGGAGCATTGGTCAGGTTCATAACTCAATGCTTTGTGCAGCAGCGTTGTGGTCTTTGTTGCTTGTGTGCTTGCTAAGCATTCTGTATGCACTTTGTTTCTTGTTTTAACCCTGTTATTTTATGCGTCAAAACAAGCATTTTCTTGTTAATGAACCCAGTGACTTTTCCTTGAACTGTCAAATGTGAGGTTGTTGCCCATAGTAGCTCTTTTTACAGCGAAAACTGTTATGAGGTCACAACTCGGGTCATGCGCAGTTGTGCATCGTCTTTACCGATGTCCACAACCACAATGCGCAAAATTGCGCATTGCGCAAACCACAATGCGCCAGCTAAGTGACGTCACCTACGAGGTTGTCTCCGACAGTCCCCAATGCCCGAGGCGTCGCCAGCACCAGCCTGAACTTGTTCATGTAGTGCTTATGAGGCCGTACGTGAGTGACTGACTGCACGTTAAAAAAAATTACTGTGCGTCTGCATCAGCATCGGGGCGATGCTCTTATAAGGAGGGGCAAGTGACACGTGTTTATATGAAAAAGAACGATGATAGGAATGTTTTGTAGATTCCAGCTAGTGGGTCAGGTGGTTTTTCGGGACGACAACGAAGCAGGCATCTTGCTGTACAGCTGATCCTGAATACGCTCTTTTCGCTGCCGTAAGCTGCTGTCATCTTTTGTTCGCGTTGCACTGCGACAATATATAAAAAAATACCTAGGTGTGAGCCCAGTGTTCTACCACTGAGCCATACTAGTGCTTGGGACTTGTTGGCAAACTTGCCTCAGGCAGGCTTGATGTTGGGAAAGCAATCGCGTTAATAAGACTTATAAAGCGTTTTAAAACAGTGAAAGGGCAACCAGTCGTCGCACAATGTGAATAGTGTAACGAGTGGGTCGACCAATGCTTCAACCCATTACAAAAGCTTGTTCTTGTTCTTCTATTAACTGTGGGGCATACACACTTCAGCAATAATTCCTCATCGTCGTCAGCCACTGCATGAACAATTGGCACAAAATTCCTTGCAATTGTTTAGCAGATACCACGCTTCTCAGAAGAATGACGAAAACTAGCACAGCGAATGCCGGCCTACTACCCAAAAGATTTTAATATTAATGTTCTAGTGGGTATCAAGCAAGTGTGCTTGCAGTAGTTACCCAACGAGTATTTCGAAAGGCTCTGAAAGGCCACTCTTCCAGCTTTCGCTGTGACTGTGCTGCGCCTTCTGCGCAGGCCTGGCATTTTTTGCACCCTTGAAAACCCTCAGAAAGCCCTTCTTTATATTTTTCTTTGCAAAGAGGCTTGCTACTAATCATACTATTTCTCTTCATGTGTACCTTGTTTGTGATTAAGTCTCATAATCTGATCTTTGTACAATCTTGAGATTCTCCACCCTTTGATGGATAACCCACCACTACTTTTGTTACAATTTTCTAGTTTTGGTAGGATAATGGACTCCTGACATCAGCACCGTTCCTTTCGTTGATAATGTCTGCAAGAGCAAAGTTAGCGAGGGTGGAAGATAAGTGAGCCATTGGCACTAACTAAACTCTGGCTGTGTTAACAAGTTACATGCAGGATTCGTAAAATAGCATGCTCTAGTTCATGCGATGATATAGAAATGATAAAAGAATGCGGTTTGTTGTAGCTTTAAGATAACGCCATTTGTCTAACATGTTTGCATTTTTTATCTTATTGGCTTTTATATGTCCTATACTGTTTCTGTCATAGTGTTTCAAACAACAATAACTAGAGGGCAGTCTTGCGCAAGTGCATATTGTGGCTTCTTGAGCGATGCTTCAACCACCATGGCAGTGATGGGAAGTACGAGCTTTGAGGGATTTGGTACTTGAGGTTAGTGGCACGTGTTTGCTGTCACGAATTTTTCTCGGGAGCATTTGCAGTGGGTGGAGTTCGGAAAGAGACGAGAGTCAGCAGTAACATGTCAAACCTAGTTTAATACTGCACGAAATGGCAAAAATCCGAACAATCCCTCCAAATGCAAAAAAAGAAATCACACAATAATGGGCTATACAGTGAAACTGGCACTAACGTTAGCCCAAGTTGAGTTCAATCTTTAGCCGTAATGTTTCTCTTGCAAAAATGGTGTTACGATAACGAAGCGTTCTTACAGTTCATCCTGTTGTTGCATTGACTCCGTGCCCTTGTCGTGTCCACGGTTCATTGGGTCTGTCATTGATGTTCTCCTTAAGCTCTTACGGTCATCGTCGGTAGTTTCCACCCAATGTGTCATTTGTCTTCATTGCCGTTGCCCCGGTCTTCGTCGCAGTCTTCAACCTTGCTAGGCTAGGCTTAGTTCGTCATGAACTCCTTTGCTGACGGGTCCACTCTGCTGACTGGTGTGGGCTGCTACCCTCCCGGCGCGAAGTGGGATAGGTGCAAGTCTACCAGGAAGTGCTGGTAAAGGGGCGGCGAGTCCGGGCATCCTGTCTCAAGAGGACCTTCGAGTTCGCTGGCCACTTCCCGGGTCTCTCATGCAGACATTCTTCTGAACCGGGCAGCTATGCTACTTCCGTCGTGGTACCGACGCTGGTTTCCCACATCTTCGCAGCTTGGAGCCCCACAGCACGACGACAGCTCATCCTCTGGGATTTTTCATTACCGCCACGAGCTGTCTTGTCCAATCTCATACGTGAACGTGGCGCGTATGCGCACCATTGGGGGTCTCGGGCACGTGCACCGTATTCCAGCGCCCGGCACGTGCCTCATGCCCTCTTACTCATGACATTTGCTCAGCTTTAAATGAGGTGGCATTATGAGGGTATTTCCAGTTAACACTTGCTTTTCGGTGGTTTCTCAATCTGTGGCCCTGCCAGCCGCATTGAACACCGTACAGGAGGAGGTTGTCAACAGTAAGAGGGACGGTTAATACAGCTCCGTACAGGAGGAGGTGTTCGGCAGTAAGAGGGACGGTTAATATTCGACTGGTTGCTTTTGAGCGCTCTGGCAACGCCCGTCACACTCGGCTAGTTAGTGTTGGAGTGCTCTGAATACGCTCGGCTGGTTCTTTCCGAGCACCACGCTCTCAGCTGAGAACTATCTGAGGCTCTTTCACTTTGGCTTCGGAGCGTGACCGAGACTTGATCACGTGACTCTGTGCCTCGTCTGTTTGCGACGGAACACGAGGTGACATGTATTCATTTCTGACTGCCGATTGCTGTGACAAGCGGCTGCATGTTCTTCCCAGACACGCATTCTCTGGCTCTGATCAAGACAAGGCGCCACGCTGTTACTATCTGTGTCAGATGGCACCCAGATGAATGTGCCATTAGTTTTACAATTCTGGTAATGAATGAGTTCAGTGCTAATAAACGCATGTTCAACTCTTCTTGTTGCCCAACAAAAGGTAGCCCATCTCATATTTTCATACAAATATTTCTTGAGTATAAGCGGGCTATCGCTCGAGTTATTATGGTAATTTCTATCTCATTAAAAATGTGAATGCCTCTGATTACCTTGCTAGGCTTGCGGCCTGGAGATACTGGCCGCTGGGTCCGACAAGACAACCGTCAATGGTGAACCTGACCTTTCCGAGCTTGGCGATGACGTTCGGTGGAAGCGCTTCCTCAAGAGCCTCAGCACCAAGGGCTACTTTCAGGTAGCTTATCGTTACCACTGTTGTCATTGTCATTGTGATTTATATCATTACCGTCTCTATCACGGTAAACATCTTCTTTGCCTTGTTAGTGAGCAGATACTGTATTTATCCGCATAATTTGTGCATTTTTTTTCGCAATTTTAGAGCTTTGAGAAGGGGCTGTGCAAATAACGGGGGGATTTCGGATTTCGTGAACGCATCCGAAATAATGTGCAGTAGTTCTAACCCGCCAGCATATACATTGAAAAGATAAAATAAATTGGGGCAGGAAGGAAGTGTACTTGTTTATTTAACAGAATTAGCATGTACTTTAACCAGTAAGATCCGGTCACGCGCGGAATCCCTTATTGAGAGGTCCGATTGAGAATCATTCTCGCAGCTGCTGTCACTGTCATCCCAAAGCGCATAGTCCTCGGTTCTGTCCAGCCCATTCGAATGTCCTATTTTCTCTAAATTTTTCTCGACAATGCTGAGAGAAACTAGTTCTCACGACACAGCGATACCGGAGGACCTAAGCATTTGCACATAAGTGAAAAGGCCTTCTTCAGTGGCAAAAAAATTGTATTAGCAAGCGGGCATTCTTCTGCTTCCTCCTGTAACGATTGCACCAATCGTCACACGTAGAAGAACTTCATGCTGGAGTGCTTGGCAGAGGCATGGCTGCACTCACTTAATCACTTAATCAGCAGGGCGCGCTCGTCCGAAGAATCCACAGGTCCGAAGTCTGTTCGTCTGTGCGCTGGTGAGCTGGCTCGGGCAGTTAGAGGAGCACAAAATATGCAAGTATATATATATATATTTTCGTAAAGCTGACAAAATATTAGGGGTGTGCAAATTATGTGAGGGTGCAAATTACGTGAGTAAATACGGTATCTCTTCTGCTAGGTTGTGTGGGTGCCAGACGTACTTGCATTTGTCTGTCTTTTAGCTCTTACATTTGCTGTCACTTTAAATAACCTTATTCTTTTACTACACATTGCATACTTGCAAAGTCTCTTGGATTGGCTGGGAGACTCCCCGATTTCGACCTTTTTTTCCGTTTGTACGGTTGTCATGAAAAGCTCCCGGAAATCGAATTTTCTGTATGTGATTTGGTCGCATTGACAAAAAAGCTGCTCAATTCACTCCAGGCTTTTCGAACCTACCCTATTTTATGATAAATGAATTTAAGAGGCATTCATCTATATATGCGTACAGTAGAGTCTCACTGATGTGAAACTGGGCAAATGCAAATTTTGGAAATTCCCCAGCCAGATTTCACTATGCTTATTGGACCTGCATTCGAATGTTGCAAACACCTTTCCTAATCAAGGCGGGTGATACAAACTTTAATACGGAAGCCGTCGAATGAAGGCGGAGAGCAGCGTTTTCGAAGCTTCGGAAGTACGCGTGCGATTGGCACACCCACTGTCTTCTACAGCGCGTGTGATTGTCGTTGCGACAACCGCTGTGGATGAAACCGCGGTCATTCTTGACACGATTACGTATGGCGACGACGTAACTGACAGAACCTCGAAAGTCTGCATGCGTCCAACGCTCAAACAGTCAAAGCAATGCTGCTTTTCGGAAAATGTGCGAACATAACTGCGGCAGATGCGATCGTAGATGGCACAAAACGATGGTGCAGTGCGTGCGCAGCCACGCGCACGGGGATTGAAAAAGGAACTACCGTTTGCCGCAACCGCTACGAACAAAACTGCGGTCGCGGCGACGCAATAGCGATCTATGAGTCCCGAGGGCACACGGCTAATGCAGCAGCAGAAAGGCTGTAAATACGTAAAAAAAAAAAAGGCCAGACGCATTTTGGCATTACTGTCAAAATAATCTAGTAGTGAGCAAAGCTTTGGCCCGTGCTGTTGTGGCAGCGAGCTGCGCCGTCCAGTCCATTTAAGTGTGTCCCAGGAAAACATACGTGAGTTATTTTGACGGAAAAAGATTCTGCTAGTTGTACTTGCATCTTAGTGCGAAACCCTACCCTCGACTCTTACATTAGTCGGAAACCCTACCCTCTCATGTTTGGCCACTCCAAGCCACTATAAGACCGCAACGTCGATGTCGGCCCTTGCGATTAAGACCCCCCACCCCATTTTGTTTTTTGAGATGTTTTTTTTGTCCTTGGGTTTAGTTTGGGCCAAAAAAATAGTCATATAATTCAGCGCACCCCCCCCCCCCCCCCTGTAGTGAAAATCTCCCGGATTCAGAATCCTTGAACTTGGCAGGTATGACATCGCCTGCAAAGAATTATTTACCGTAAAATGTAAGCACAGTTACAGGGATTTTTCCCACACTTCAGGCCAGTTTTTGCTCCTTTTTGTACCATCGAGTGTGCTGAAAGCTATCCTGCAGGGGAAGGGGATGTCACAATGTGTGGATTTCGCCCAGTAAATTTTGTTTGAGCAAGCGGTATTGACACATGAACGCTGCAAGATGTGGCACAAAAGCACACTTTATTGCTCACACACAGTCATAAACAAGTACAGTCTAGCCCGCTTATAACGGACCTGAGCGTGACGCGGCATCCGTTCGCTGTATCTTGAAGTTCGTAGTAAATGAAACACAGCTTTTAAAAAATGTTGCGAGTGAACACGCAAAGTCTTTTTGCCCCAAAAAGTCCGTGATGCACATGTTTCGAAGAGCAGAAGCGATAAAGGCGGTCTCAAGTTCACTTAAAACGGCAGGGTGCTCGTTCACCGAGGCACGTGGCATAAGCTGCATGAGGCACTGGCTCCAAAGTATTGTCGTTCTTACAATCCTATTCCTTCAAATCGCTTTCGCCATGTACCGTATTTACTCGATTCTACCGCGCCCTCGATTGTAACGCGCACCCGATTTCCACCGCGAAAAAAAAACAACAAAAAAAACGTAAGACATCGATTGCAACGCGCACCCATTTTTCTCGCTGGCCCGCACGATCACACCACTCGGAAAAACGACTCTTTTCGTGAGCGTCTTCCATTTAAATATGAGGTACGGGCGAAGCTTGTGCTCATCTGACGTGTAACAGAGCATTGCCGTCACTGTAGTTTTACCGTGGACCGATGTCAGCACATGAACTTGCTTCGCCCCCTTCTTCTCGACGGTTGTGGTGCCAGGCATGTCGAAGTAAAGAGGTGTCTGATCGACATTCCCGATTTGCCCAAGCAGGTAGTCGTTGTTGCGCCGCAAGTTTAGGACGAACCTCTGAAAACTGTGAAGCTTTTCATCGTACTCCTCCGCAAAACTTTTCGCATATGCATGTTCCCCTTCGGAGGAAAAAGCCTTTCCTCTTCATAAAGTTAGTTAGCCAGCACCTGCTCGCTTTAAACTGGCTCCGCATTAGACTTTTTTTCTAAGACTAATTGCATAGCCCGCACTTGGAGCAGTTCTGTCGTCACGGGCCGCTGTGCCGCTCGCTGCTCAAGCACATACTCGGCGAGCAGCTCTTTAATTTGCGGAAACTGACCCTGCTGTGGTCCACTGAAGCCTTTGCGTGAAGCTTTGCTGTCGACAATATTTTGCTTTTCTTTCCGCCGGTCCCGCACGCACGTTTCGGGAACTCCGAACGACTGCGATGCAGCCCGATTTCTGTCCGTTTCTGCACACGCGATGACTTTTCTTTTAAAAGTGGCATCGCGGTGCACTCGAGTTTTTGGAGTCAGCCCTTTCACGTCGTCGATGCTAATGCACTACTAGATGACGAACTCCTCAGCACACGTACGAAGTGCCGCACATGGGAAACACATAGGCAGAAATGGCCGACGTGCCATGCCGACGCACGTAGGGGGCGGCCATTTTGGATTTCCCGATGGCAATAGATTGACCGTAAATTTTTTGTTCGTGCTCGATTCTAGCGCGCATGCGATTTATGAACTCGCTTAACTGGAAAAAAGGTGCGCGTTTGATTCGAGTAATTACGGTACTTCATTCACAATGCCCCAATCCGTGCACGGTTCCGCAGTGTCGGCATCATCATCGGTCGGCCATTATTAAACCATCGCAACAGATGTCCCACCCGCTCTCCCAGGTCGGAGTCGACGACGCGCTGCCACAAATTGCCGCCGCAGTGGTCCTGTTCGGAAGCTTCAGGCTCGGCATCGGGCCCGACGTCGACAAAGTCGGCCTCGTGAAAACAGTTTGGCGCGCATGTAGCCGTCACCGCCGCCCACAAAATATTCACCATCTCCACAGCTGAATACCGGGACACCCGAAGTGCAAAGTTTGCATCCAGGTGGTCAACAGCTATGAGAAAGCGCTCCGCAACGCGGCACCTAACGTGCCGATTACGCTCAAGCCACGCGGTCACACTTTTGACGTTTTGTTGAGTGGCAGGAAAAAGTGTGCTAGTCCTCCCGTCTGCCATCATGACCACACACGCACACCAAGAGGGAGCAAGACGCGCACACGCGACACACGTTCCAGAACGCGTGGTACAGCTCTGGGCTTGTTTTCAGTCAGAAAACAAAACTAATTCGAGCCAGCGGGGCTGGCATCGCGGAGCGATAGATACGGGCGAAGGGGTTGTGATCAAGAGAGGAGAGCAGATTTGTGAGAGAAGGGCAAGGAGTTGCAATAGTGAAGAGATGGGAGGATGCGGCGGGAGGGCGACCTTGAAAACCAAAACACATGAGAAGGAGGCAAATTTGGTAGCTTGCGTGAAAGGTCCGCGAAACTCGCACGTAGGAAAACATGAAAGAGTGCCTGCGCGTGTAAAAGTCAAAGCACGGCTGCCTGGATCGGTGCCCGCGGCGGTGTTTGAAGAATCTGCGGCTGTGGTAAAAAAATCATTTTGTTGCACTGGCAGGTTTGCGTGGCCTCAGGAACTTTGATATTTCGCGATTCATTCCGCGCAAATTAACAGCCGTTTTCACGCTTCCGCACGCGTGCAGAAGGCATGCTGAGCCGAGTGCGAAGTGAGCGAGAACAAGTCCTAAACACGAAACGAATCGCAAATTATCAGAGTCGGTGGGGTTGCGTACGCGCGTGCACTAGGCGCAGACTATCAGATACAGTCGATGGCCGACTATGTTGCCAAATGGTCTGGTCACTCCAAGCTGGCGACGCCAAAGACAGTACCAGGGATCAAAAACAGGGTAGATGGCCGACCGGTCTTCCAAAGATCGGTGGCAGTGTGAAAACACGGGCCTCGTCTGGCAATGCGTGGTCCTCAGAGTAGTGGAGGGACAAAAGACGGAGGGGTGCGTAACAAAAAGCAGTTGGGGCACGGAGGAAGGAAACAGCTTTTCTTCCTCCGGAAGCAGGGTGAGCGTTTAACAATAAGAATGTATGGGCACCTCCCCGAAGCCTGATCAGTGGCCGAAAGTGGTTTCCTGGGAAGTCGGCACACCGCCGACTCCGTTTGCTGTAACCGATCAGCGGCGCTCGGAGACGTTCGTTGTAAGTGCGATTTTGTGCCATTGAACTAATCTATATTTTCACGGTCACACGGATATTGTTCGTTTTAAGTGGGGCCGTTATATGTGGGCTGGACTGTACATACAAAAGACTAAAACTATCTAGAAACGACTAGGTTATCCAAACACAAGAGTTAACAAGTCCTAGCATGGCCAAGTCCCACGTGCGTCTCTAATCTCCTCTCAAGCCTATTGGTAAATACCGACTGAACTGTATGTGCAGTGTTGGCCACTTACTGTGCCTATTGATCGTGCTCACACTTGAACGTCACTGCGACCGTCAGTATCGGCGTCCCCGCTACTGTAGAAGGGCACCATGTCAACGAGGTGAGGCACACGGACGTCGTTCCCATTGGGTGGTGAGAATCGGGTTGCCGGCAGGAACTCCGGGCACCTCCCAGGCCGCTCTGGCCAGTGCGGCGTTGGCATGGGGACGGCTGGCCGCAAGCCCAGGCTCGTTCAAGGTTGGCGGCGTGACGCTGACCTGTTCCGGCTGCTCGCTGCACTGCCCGCCAGCTGGACGACAAAAGCATGATAATGGCAGCTTGCCGGAGTAGTAACTCGGGCGACTCTTGAAGCAATGCAGTCCTGAGGAGAGACCCAGGCTGCCTCGACGATCCGTCGTTTTCTCCGCCGTCCTGGCCAACCTTCTCTTCCACACGCGCCCACCTTCTAATCTTTCATGCAAGCACGCACTTCTTTTTCGTCCTCCAATTTCTTTTCCTGCACCTGCTCCATGACTTTATTTTCTTCTTTTTCTTTGTCCGCCCTTTTTCTTTTCATCCGTGACAGGAGGGTGACTAGGCACCTAGAAGCTACGTCCATTAGTCGGCGTGTGTCATGACCTTGAGCGCTTCTTTTTTATCTTTTTACTGCAAAAGCTGTTACGAAATCATAAGAACGATGCCGTAGTTGTTCGCCGCTGTTGCCGCTGGTGTCCGTAACTTCTGTCGCATGAAATGAGAAAGAAAAAAATGAAATGATAAAAAATGTCCAGATTGGAATGGTGTTCAAACCTGGATCCTTTTTGTGGCAGCCTTGTATTTTACCGTTCAGCCATGCCTGTTCTGGAAACTCCCATGTGCAAAAGCATGCGCAAGCATCAGGAAGAAACCACGTTAGCATTTGTAACATAGCACGGTAGAAGAGTACGATAACAACCGGGTGTCACAAAATGCGAATTGTGTAACCAGGCGTCACTCTATATAAATGGCTTGACGAGTAGGTCGTGAAGTGCTTCATACCCATTACAAATGGCTCAGCCGTAATTCTTCGTCGTTGTCAGGCACCGAATCAATTAATGGAGTAGTGAGTACCTTGCAACCGTACGTGTATTAGTAGCCCCAAGAGTGTTTGCAACAGGGTCTATAATGGCGCTCTTCCTGCTTTCGCTGTGACTCAGCGACACTTTCCGTGCAGGCCTGGCAGTTTTTGTCTTGGAACTCGCAACTCAGTTTCAGCTTGCTCACAAGCAAGCCCACGGGCATGTCGCAGCATCTTGTAGCGGCCACAGTATCTATGCAGTCCTTAATGCAACCAATGGCGCTGGACTTCATTTATGGACAGTCATTTGGGTTGAAGGCATCACTTGTCTAGAGAAGAGCGAGTGATTTCTCACTGAATTTGAGAATTTAATTGCAAATTTAGGCCGCGCGCATTGCTATAATGTCTGGCTCACAAGTTCCCGGCAACCTTGACTACCATTCTGCACACTTCTCTGGCCATGCTGAGAAGGCATCACTGGGCCCCTTCAATGATGCCTATTGTTGAATTAACGTTGACAAGTGTACTCTCCTGCTTGCTACATCTCTTGCAGGGTGAACTGGAGGGGTCCAAGTTGTACCACAACCTGCTTCAACGCGCCCGCGAGTATTTTGTCCACACGGTCGCAGCAGCGGAGGATGGAGAGAGCGAGCGCCGGGGAAGGTGCTCGGCTCACGCGCGAGTCTCGCGCCAGCTGCGACAGCTCGACGTCAACGTCGAGAAACTACGAGAAGAGAGCGAGAAACTGGGAGAGCCAGACGGTGAGTGTCTTCACACTGTGCGCCATGGGACATCACTGAACGCGCAATCAGAACTGGGGTTAACTGGGCTAATACGGCATTTTGCTCTGGCTAAACGGCCAAATATTTCCCGTTAGTAGTGGCCCTTTTGCACATTTCGTAGCTTTTCGCAGAAAAAGAGCATTATACTTTGTCTGCAAATGAAAAAAATTTGCTGCAAGTTAGTCCCTCTATTACCGCATTTACTCGCATAATTCATTATGCACTCACTTGCATAACAAACTCGGCCCCCGCTTTGGTCCTTGGAGAAAAAAAATATATGTGTATTTTATTTTGGTGTGATTTCCAGTGCTGTAGACAATCAAAACAATGTTTAGTCACATCATCACATCACAAATTAACGATGCATTAAAAGTCAAAACTTAACAACTATGCTAAACAGTTGCGAGCAGTGTGAGCGTGGACGACGTCAATCGAAATTTAGAAGTTGCGCCCCACCGTGGTGGTCTAGTGGCTAAGGTACTCGGCTGCTGACCCGCAGGTCGCAGGTGAATCCCGGCTGCCGCAGCTGCCTTTTTGATGGAGGCGAAAGTGCTGTAAGCCCACGTGCTTAGATTTGGGTGCACTATAAAAAACCCCAGGTGGTCGAAATTTTCGGAATGCTCCACCACGGCATCTCTCATAAACATATGGTGGTTTTGGGACGGTAAACCCTACATATCAATAAAGCAATCCATCAAATTTAAATTTAGAAGTTGGTCTTTCGCAGCAGAGTGATGTCTGTTGAACGCAGAAGAAACCTTCTGCTTATAGTTCCATGCAAGCACAGGGGCGCAAAAACGAAGCGCAACCGCGCCCAGCAGGATGTGCACCCTCAACATGCGTGTGACCCTACCCGGCACTGCGTTTCTGTGGAGGATTGGCCAGTACGCTAGCAACACGGCCAGTTTTAAACTTACACTTGGTCGAGCATGCACAGGAGCATAGGAACCAGGCGCCTGGATGGCCCTTTCAGCGTCAATCAACGTGCGTTGGCCTGTACACGCGCAATCTGCACAGCTGCGCCCCACGTGCTCAAACATCTGCTGCACCAAGCGGAGGGCGAACAAGTGTCCCCAATACGCTCTTTTGCCCTATGTTTGCAGGCAGTATGTGCCCCGGCACGTGCGATGCAAGTAGCATGTTTACAGCTTCGGGCTACTAAAAAAGTTTGTCGTTCACTTAAATATCGGTAGCTTCTCCTTGTGGAGAACGAAGTTCTCAAATAGAGGCTCCGTAATTTCGCCGCTACCCCCCTAACTGGTGTCAACTTTTCTGAAAAAAGGTGGGTTCATAAATACGGTACAGCCTGGGTAACACTAACATAGCCCAGAAAGCCCTTCAGTGCAGTTTAATAAGGTTTCCCGGTGGGCTCAGTGGTGGTTCTTTGGTCAAACTTTTAGAACTTGTACGTTTGTCTTTTGTTGTTCTATATGTGAAAAACAGCGAAAAACTGCGCTCAAATGAATTTTTCTTCCCACCTATCAAATTGCATGACATTGCACCGTCACAGGTGTGCCTGCGCACTGTCCTGGTGTCTACACGAATAGCAAACTCCTGGAAGAGATTTCTAGAATTGTGTAATAAATTGCATCTTCTTTTGGGGACCGAGCTCCACACACATAGGCAGTGGTGTTAATGGCATGGATATAAAAGCACGCTTGATAGCATCGGAAGGACTTTGCTCATACCTTTAGATTTGCCCTAGTGCCGAGTCGCACCAAATATCTTTAGAGTTGCAATGTTCCAACAAAGGATCAAGCATGTTGCTCGCAGAAACGCCAGAGCTCAATTGTTTTGTTGTTTCAGCGGAAGTTTCTCACACTGCTTCTTTTTTGGTGCCAGATGAAAAGTGGATGGAGGTCACGCCGCAGGATTTGGACCGCCTGCTCGAAGACTACTCTTCACGAAGTTCTGGAGGAGAGAAGCACAAGGGCGCCAAGTGAGTGCTCACTTTCAATCGCTCTATGAGAGAAGTCTGCTGCGAATATGAAGCACCATGTCATCACAGTGTTTCATTTCTTGCATAAAAAGCCAGGGGTACGCACCAAGGCTTCTTTCGTTTCAACCATTCGCAACTGAAACAGACCATGTACACGCGTGTAAAAGCCACACTGTTCTTTCCCCATAATATTAATGGGGTGTGGTCTTTCCACGAAATTGTGAAATTTTTGTTGAACTTCCGATGCTATATGGGAAAACCTGTTTCCTCATGGCATATGCAGCTCACAGATATCACTACGTGAAGAAGCCACAGGACACCTATTGCCATCCGATGGCTCCCGTGAAATACAGTGTGCGCGAGATGCGACAACGCTGCCATTTGCTGATATTTTTTTTTCTGCAAAATTTGGACTGCCAAGTTGGAGGGGAGCAGCCCTTACACGAGAATGGTCCTTAGTCGACTAGATACGTTATGTGGCTGTTGATCTAAAAGGCATCATTTCGATCCTCGCCGCAGTGTATGCACTTCAGTGAAGGCGAAAAACTAGAGGTATGAGTACTGCATTACGTCGGCGCATGTTTCACAATCCCGAGTGGTCAAAATTATCCGAAGCCCTCCGCTATGGCATCCCTCTCAGGCTGGGCGACTTTGGTACGTCGGGGCCCCATAAACCAAGTAAACAACTAAACATGTAATTAATCACACAGAAAGTCTCGCCATTTTCTGGGATCTGCGGTCCTCTAGCATGGGCTTTCTTTATGTGTTCTCCGAGTGCCTTTGGGATGCTCAGCATTATTTCAGCGTGGAACTCTGTGCTATATACCACGAATGAGCATTTGCTTGGAGGTGTCAATAATTTCTCTTGTATAACCCACACCCAGGATTTGCAGAAAATTAAAAAAAAAGTTGTCTTTGTGTATTTCTGCAAAACTAGCTTTCTCGCATAGTTCCGAAGCACTGCTGTAAAGCTGCCTTTGCAGCCCAAAATTTGTTTTTAGCTTTAACTTCAAATTGAATATTTTTGCGTCGCTTATTGCGAGAAAATGTGAAACTTGTATAGTGCGTACCTGCCAATCCTCCCGGATTTTCCGGTAAACTCCCAAAATTCGACCATTTCTTACATTTGTACGCTTGACTGAAAAATCTCCTGAAAATATAAATTTCGGGGCGTTATCTGGCCGCAATGACAAAAATTTAGCCCACTCCGATTCAGGCTTTTTGCAAACCCATTGCGTTTTATTGTAAATAAATTTAGGAGGCGTTTTCGTAAATGTACACTTGAGTCTCGGTGATGTGGAACCGGCAGGTATGGGCTTGTGGAATTCTTCAGCCAAATTCTACTGTATTCGTATGGCCAGAATTTGGATGTTCCGAACACTTTTCCTCATTGTGGCGGGTAACACAAACTTCAGTATTGAAACTGTTGAGCAAAGGCTGAAAGCAGCATCTAGAACCTTCTAAAGTATGCGCACGGCCATTGCACTCACTGGCCGTGCGCGTACTTTAGAAGCGGTTGCACTTGACACAATCATGTATGGTGATGACGTAACTGACAGAACTCCGAAAATGCACGGGCGTCTACTAAAGGCAATGCTGCTTGCCGCAAAGGCTGCTGTCAAAATCGGGGCAGATGCGATCATAGACAACGAAAACCGACTTGGTTTTGAAGGTACGTGCGCACCCAGCACACGTGGATTTGAAATGTAACTGCAGTTTGCTGCAGCCGCCACACTCAAAACCGCAGTCGCTGCAACATGATCATTGATAAAGACTACAAGCTACAAAGGCACGGAGCTAATGCAGAGGTAGATTAAAGGCAATAAGGACGTTAAAAAGGCTAGAAGCGTTTCGGCATTCCTCTCAATCTGAATACTTCAACTATACTTTGGCACTCAGTATTCACTTGGGCTCAAGTGAAGCTTTCACCACTGGCAGCTGTACTGTCCCATATTGGTCTGGTCACGTGTGTCGCAGGAAAGCATATGGGTATTCTTTTGGCAGAAATAGATGTTCTGTGCTTATATCATGGCTTGAAAACTGGTGTTGCTTGTTTTTTGATAATTTTTGATAATACGAAATTTCGGGAGACACAAAAGTATTTTCCCACCCCGTTTGAGACTGGCACCTTCTACTGTTGTTGGGAAACTATACCCTCGTGTGTTCGGCCGCTCCAAGCCATGATAAGACTGCAATGCTGATGTTTACGCTTGCGGAGGGGCGCGGCACCCCCTTCCCCTTTTGTGTGGGAGAGAAATTGTCCCCCCCACCCCCATTGTGGAAATCTCCCAGGTTCGAAATCCTTGAACTTGACAGGTATGATACAGTGCACTGATGAGAACCAGGCAATAAGCACTGTGACTGTTGTTAAGGCGTTTATTAGCCGGCAACGAGCGAGAATATACAATGGCGACAGTCACAGCCAAGCACAGGCTCTCAGCGCGAGCGGCGTCCTCGTTGGGTAGCCCCACTAGAAGGTACTCAAGAGTGCGACCCATTTCAGAGTTCGGAGGCTTCGCTACAATTACCCCGGGGTCGAAGAGGGAGCCGCCTGGCGACCTAACAGCTTGTTAATATGAGCGGGTCATAATAAGCCTTCAGGCGCTCCACGTTGACGATGTCTCGCCCACGGCGGCGCATGTCCGAAGATTGTTCAACGGGTTCGATCAGATAGTTGACGGGTAAGGTGCGCTCAATGACACGGTAGGGGCCTTCGTATTTGGGACGTAGTTTGGAAGAGAGGCCAGCTGCAGAGGTCGGGATCGAGAGCCACACAAGCGCACCAGGAAGGAACGTGGGCTCAGAAGTGGTGGAGCCATCACGAATACTCTTCTGCCGCTCTTGCTCTTGCGTCGTAAAAGTCTTGGCAAGCTCGCGGCACTCTTCAGCAAGCCTGGCTGTCTCGGAAATAGGTGTACACTCAGATGGATCCGGCGTGAACGGGAGTATCGTGTCCATGGTGTGCGACGGGTGCCTTCCGTACAGCAAGTAGAAAGGTGAAAAACCAGTCGTGCTCTGAGGGGCGGTGTTGTAGGCGTAGGTGACGAAGGGCAGTATATTATCCCAATTAGTGTGGTTGGCAGCGACGTACATAGAAAGCATGTCGCCGAGGGTGCGGTTAAAGCGTTCGGTGAGGCCACTCGTCTGTGGGTGGTAAGCAGTAGTTTTGCGGTGGACAGAATGGCACTCCGTCAGAATGGCTTCGATGACTTCCGACAAGAAGACACGGCCTCGATCGCTGAGAAGCTTTTAGGGTGGTCCGTGGCGCAGTATAAATTGATGCAGCAGGAAGGACGCAACATCGCGCGCAGTAGCCGCAGGGAGAGCGGCGGTTTCGGCGTATCGCGTTAAATGGTCAACGGCAACGATGGCCCAGTGGTTACCAGCCAACGTCAGAGGAAGTGGTCCATACAAATCGATACCTACGCGCCCAAAGGGACGGTCAGGGCAAGGTAACGGTTGCAGACCGGCGTGCGACATGTCGGCTGACGGTTTACGGCGTTGGCAAGTGAGGCAAGAGCGAACGAACTGCTGCACATAGCTGTACATCCCGCGCCAGAAGTAGCGTTGTCGATTGCGATGGTAGGTTTTGAATACCCCAGAGTGCGCGCATTGCGGATCAGAATGGAAGGATTCACATATCTCTGAGCGCAGACTGCGGGGTATCACGAGTAACCACTGCCGACCGTCGGCGTCGTAATTGCGTCGGTGTTGAAGGCCGTCACGGATGGCGAAATGGCGAGCTTGACGACGCAAGGCACACGTGGATGGCGTTGCGGATGGATCAGAGAGCATGTCGATGAGCGGGCCGATCCAATTATCCTTTCGCTGTTCGGTAGCGATGATGTCAACATCAATGGCAGAAACAGCAGCCGAGGATACTGAGCAGAGCACATCACCTTCAGGCGGAGGAGAGCGCGAGAGGGCGTCGGCGTCAGCATGCTGGCGTCCGTTGCGGTACAGCACGCGGATGTCGTAGTCTTGTAAGCGAAGAGCCCAACGGGCGAGACGGCCTGAGGGATCCTTCAATGATGAAAGCCAGCATAGTGCATGATGGTCGGTGACGACATCGAATGGGCGACCATACAAATAAGGTCGAAACTTTGTAAGAGCCCAGACGATCGCCAGGCACTCTTTCTCCGTGACGGTGTAGTTTTTCTCGGCTCTCGTGAGCGTACGGCTTGCATATGCTACGACATATTCAGGGAATCCGGGTTTTCGCTGCGCCAGGACAGCGCCGAGGCCTACACCGCTGGCGTCCGTGTGCACCTCCGTTGGGGCTGTGGGGTCGTAGTGTCGTAGAATGGGAGGCGACGTCAACAAATGGCGGAGCTTCGCGAATGCGTCGTCGCACTCGGATGACCACGAATTGAAGGGCCCGTTACTTCCAAGGAGCTTCGTCAGCGGTGATATGATCGTGGCAAAATTTCGTATGAAGCGTCGGAAGTATGAGCACAGGCCCACGAAACTACGCAGTTCTTTGACAGATGCAGGTTTGGGGAATTCGGCCACTGCCTGAAGCTTGGCAGGATCAGGAAGAATGCCGTCTTTGGACACGACGTACCCCAGTACGGTGAGTTGCCGTGCTGCAAAGCGGCACTTTTTCAGATTTAGTTGCAAGCCGGCATTGCTCACACGTGCGAAAACTTCTTTCAGACGTTGGAGATGCGCGGAGAAATCTGGAGCAAAGACAATGACATCGTCGAGGTAACACAAGCACGTGTACCATTTGAAGTTGCGCAGAACGGTGTCCATCATGCGCTCAAAGGTCGGAGGTGCATTACATAGACCAAACGGCATGACGTTGAACTCGTACAAGTCGTCTGGCGTGACGAAGGTGGTCTTTGGTCGAGCGTCGTCAGCCATGGGTACTTGCCAGTACCGCGAGCGCAGATCGAGAGAAGAAAAAAAAATCGGCTCTATGAAGGCTGTCAATCGCGTCATCGATGCGTGGCAATGGATAAACATCCTTGCGAGTGATCTTATTGAGCCGTCTGTAGTCCACACAGAACCGCACAGAACCATCTTTCTTCGCAACAAGAACAACAGGAGACGCCCATGGACTGTCCGAGGGCCGAATAACGTCGCGTCGGAGCATATCGTCAACCTGATCATTAATTACGCGACGTTCAGCAGGCGACACGCGATATGGACGTTGCCGTAAAGGTGGATGGGCACCAGTGTCGATGCGATGCGTAACAACGAACGTGCGACCGAGAGAACTTCGCCCGACATTGAAAGAAGAACGATATTCTTGCAACAGGTCCAGAAGTTGGGAACGCTGTACGGCCGTAAGGTTGTCAGCGATGGAGGGGCCAAAAACATCAGCAGATGACGAATCAGAAGTGGAAACAGCATTGACGGTACACGACCTGAGACCACGCGTGTCATCGGGTACGTCCAAGACTTGTGCGTCGTCGACTGGTTCCACTCTGCCGAGACATTCCCCTCGAAGCAAGGTAACAGCGTACGGGGACGGGTTGGTTACAAAAATAGCAGTGTTGCCCTGGTTGACCTGCACGGTCGCGAAAGGTACTAGCAACCCTTTCCTGCTGCAAGAATATGTCAGATGGCGAAACAAGTCCAATGGTGTCGGACAGACCAGCGCAGTAGACAGACACAGCCGTCGTCGAGTTTGGAGGCACTGTTGTATCGTCTTTCGTTAGAATCTTGCTCAGTGTCGGGGACTGTCTTCTGGCGTCAAATGCCAAAAGAGTGAGAGCTCAATTTTGGCGGCGGCACAATGGATGACGGCGTCAAGGCGGGAGAGAAAGTCCCATCCCAGGATGATGTCATGAGAGCATGACTGAATTATGATGAACTGGGCGACATACAGAACGTCCTGGATGACAACGCGAGCTGTGCATCCTGCTGTAGGATGAATGCGGTGCAAACTTGCAGTACGGAGGGATAGCCCAGAAAGTGGCGTCGTCACTTTTCGAAGTAAGCGGCAGAGTTTTTCGTCCATAACTGATACGGCAGCTCCAGTGTCAATATGAGCCGATGCACAAACACCATCCACAAGCACGTCAATGACATTCGAGGGGCTGCTCTGAGGGCTTTCACATTGCGATAGCGTCGCAGTCCCCGAGGCAAGGACTGCGACGACTAGTTTTCCCGCTCATGAGCTGCCGCACTTGGCCGCATGGGGGACAGGGAACGACGTCGTGGAGACGGCGATCTTCGAGATGGACCTGGGCGAGATCGAGGTGGCATAGACGGCGGTTCTTCGCGATAAGGACGGCTGAGTTGGCCAGCAACAGGTGAAGAAATTGGAGCCGGCTGTGCGCGATGGCAATAACGGGCCACGTGACCGGCGTAACCGCAGGCAAAGCAGATGGGCCGGTTGTCGGGTGTGCGCCATCTGTTCACCGGGGTAGGTCTCACCCATGTCGCAAGGGCTGATGGACGGAACGATGGCTGCATGGTGGACTGAAGCTGAGGCTGAGGGGTTACGTCAACATACGTAGCGGGCACACCCGCTGCAAAGGCGGAGGTCGAGCGGCAGCTTTGGCATAAGTCAGAGGGGCGGTTGCTGGAACGACTTGGGGCGGCCTGGCGACCACTTGCGCGTAACTCAGGGGCGCAGGAGCCGGAGGCTGTGGAGGGTGGTACGCAGGCATTACCTCCGCTATTTCCTGTTCAATCGCTCGACGGATGGGAGGAAGAAGGGTAGTAGGCGATTGTTGAACAGTCGGTTGGTGGGCAAAGGGCAGGAGCGAGAACTGACGCGCGATTTCCTCACGGATGAAGGACTTTAGGTCTGCCATCTACGCCACTTGGTCACAACTGGCCTCCAAGCCAGCAAGCGTTGCAGCTCGTGGTGGGGAGCGTTGGGTCATCGAACGCTGCCGGCGGAGCTCCTCGTAGCTCTGGCACAGTGTGATGACCTCAGCCACTGTGCCGGGGTTTTTGGCGAGCAGCATCGTGAAGGCATCATCGTCAATGCCTTTTATGATGTTTCTGATCTTGTCAGACTCGGACATGGTGGGATTAGATTTGTTCCATAGGTCCAGGACGTCTTTAATATAGCTGGTGAATGACTCACCAGCCTCCTGCGCACGTTCACGTAAGCGCTGCTCGGCTTGCAGCTTGCGAACAGCAGGGCGGCCGAAGACGTTGATGATTGCGGTCTTAAAATCGGACCAGGTGGCAAAATTGGACGCGTGGTTGTTGTACCACAAACTGGCAACCCTTGTAAGGTAGAATACCAAGTTGGTCAGCTTGCCGTCCTCGTCCCATTTGTTGGGGACGCTCACGCGCTCATAAATGGCGAGCCAGTCCTCTACGTCAGTGCCATCAGCGCCAGTGAAGATGGGTGGATCGCGGATTCAGGGGACACCGGGACAAGGGGGTGGCATTGGAGGAGGCGTTTGCTGAGAAGCGTCGTGGTACATAGTAGATGGCAGGGTACGTGATCGTAGCTCCAAAGGCATAGACAGGGATCGCAGCACTCTCCACCAAATTGTTAAGGCGTTTATTAGCCGGCAACGAGCGAGAATATACAATGGCAACAGTCACAGCCAAGCACAGGCTCTCAGCGCGAGCGGCGTCCTCGTTGGGTAGCCCCAGTAGAAGGTACTCAAGAGTTCGACCCATTTCAGAGTGTGGAGGCTTCGCTACACTGTGTTTGTTTGATATTTCATGCCTTGTTCTTCAGTATGTCAAAGAGGTTACTTAAGTAAGATGGAAAACTGGGCGAGTTGGTGCAGGTTTATTGTGGCTAAGAGCGTAAAAACCCTGACATAGACTAGAAGTGGACACGCCACAGTGCTTTGCCACGTCCACTTCTAGTGTATGTGTGGGTTTTCGTGCTGTCAGCCACAAAACGGTTGTCATTTATAATGCATTTCTTAATGGCTGAACACGTTTCTCACTAGACCTGTGCAGAAGACAGAAGAAACCCTTGGCAAGACAATAACAGAGAGCCTGGACCGCTTTGTGCGTCATGTTTCCGGCTACGAAGGAGCGGAAGTGCCGTCGAATGCGGCAGCCAAAGGGAAGTCCCAGTCAAGCGAAGCCAGCCATCAAGCCAAAGCAGACGGCATTGACTTTGATCCTGACCGCTTCGTCGAGGCGCTCGGTGCTATTCTTGGTGAGTGGGTTACTTGCTACAATGATTCCATGGCTGTGGTGCACTGTCATCTGGGATGTGATTGTTAGGATTGCTAAAGAAATCGGGCCTATGGGGCCGTTTTTCAATGGGCAATACCATAAAGGCCGATGTGTAGTCCGAGGTTTTTCCTCGAGATTTCATAAGAAATGTCTGCCCCGTACTATATGCGAATACCAAGAATTTTCGGCCCAAACTCACGGTTTCAGTTTCAGCATTGCATGCTGCTCTCATTATCATCATGAAGCTTCTGCATAGGGTAGCATTTAGTCCTACGTCCTACTGTTATGATTATATGTGGCTGCCATTAAAACAATGGTAATCTCAGCTGCCGAAACCATCGACAACCATTGCATAGCAGCTGTTAAGGGTAAACAAGCTAAGCATGTGCAGTGAAGGAAACAGAAAGAAGCCTTCTTTGAGGGCAGCAGCCTGAGAAAATAGTTTCTGGGGGCTGTAAAAGGAAGTATTACCCACATTGAATGGAAATTAGTGGGCTTCTTTTGAAAGCAGCTCGGCAATGCTGGGGCTCCCATCTATACTCGTACTTGACACGTTTCGGTGTGACCTCCCTCAAGAGACTGCTTCGTGACTACAGCGCTGACTTGTATTCATATTCGTAACACAAAAAAGAACCAGATGCAGACACAGAAGGAACCCGTACACAGGACGGGTCCTAGACATCAACAGATTTTTTTTATTGAAAGACAAAATAGAAGTAAAAAATCGTCAGACATTAAGGCATGCGCACCATCAAACTTCGACTACACAAACTATAGTGCTGAGCTTGTTTGACTGCAGCGTTGAGCTTGTAATTCCGGGAGGGCATCCTAGCTGTAGCATGTTGATACGCACCGAAATAAACCATTTAAAGACCTCATCAAGCACCTGCATTGGGAGTGGATAAGGTCTAGCGAGACGAAAGTGACCCCTGCCGGATGGATGAAATGGACCTCTTCAGTGATGCTGTGCGCATGGGTCACCGATGCTTGAGTTTGCATCCCCAATATGCCCTTGATGGCACTGTGGATCAGGTTTTGTGAGAAGTCATCTCCGACAAGGGATTTTCGGAATGAAGCACATCAGACGACGATGAATGAGCGTGTATATAAATGTATGCAATTTCTTTTTTCCTGTGGCTACAGTTGAGCGAAAACTTTTTACGCGTTTGCTATTACTGAAAAACACTTTAAACAGTGTGTCGGTGCAAGCTCTATGCGGGTTCATACGGTAGCATTGATGCATTTTCGAGAATTTTGAAAGCAAACACGTCTTATGCACAGGAAAATATGGTATGTGGAACACATCAGTCGGCAACAGTCTTACGTCACTCAGAGATTCGTGCTGAGCACAGAAAGTAATAGTATCTGTTCTTCAATGCATTCGCATATATTACGATCTTGTCGCTATAGCTGTTTGCATTGCGTGACTGTGGCAAGTTCACTCGTTTATGCTGTGTATGTTTATACTTCCAGACTTCAAGCTTCCTCAGTCAGATGATGAGTCAAGTTCTTCTATGAGCAGCTATGGAGACGAAGTTGATTCTCATGGTAAGTTTAGTCTTGTGAAAGCAGGAGGGAGGCAGCATATATGGCATAACGAAAATTGGGAGACCGCAGGTTGCGTGAATAAATCAAGTGTCAATGCTCTTGCAGTGGTCCCAATACCTTAGCTGCACTATTTTTAGTTTAAAGTAGGTGGTGTAGAAACACAGGTGCAAAAAAATTCTGGAGGCGACTCTATTCCTTGGCTTCGGCATCTCGTAGTGGCATTCACGCATTGATGTTCATGTACTCTGGTGTATTTCTTGGGGCAACATTGTTTTGTCGAGCTGCTGGAGCAGAGGCTGCGTGGAAAGAAACGCAGGGTTGAGATCTGCACAGGCAGGTGGCGCTATGATCCCAGCTGCTCGCTCTTTTCGTGAACTCAGTCAATTTTATTCAGTTAACTTATTATTCAGTTAATTGATCCTTACCTTAAGTAAACATGTGCTCTGATCACATGTATCCATTATAACTTGAACCAGAACCATGGGATTTTCATTTTTAGTATAGTTTTCCTGAATATACAGTTGAAACCTTTTGTAAGAGACAAGCGCTGGGGAGCAATTCTAGTCTTTTACTGTATAGGAGGGGCCTCTTATACGCAGTGTACCACGTATGCCTTTTTTTCTCTACCCGCATTTTACTGCAGCCACACCGGTGTCTCTTCTTTGTCCCTTATATCATTTACATCTACCAATTTGTCTCTGACGTCAGTGTCTCCTATAACGAGGTTTGAACATATTCTCGAAATTGGAGGTGAGTACTTGAAAGAGAAACCAAAATGGCACTCTGCGCTTGTGCCACTGAAAAGAGACAAGTTTCCGTTGTGTTCTCTTTTCTTGTGTCAGTATCAACATGCCTTATTTATGATGCATCCATAGTCCATCTTTCTGTGTTTGAAAAGCCCTGATCAAAAGAAAGTATAGCAACTTTCTTGGAATGTGAACGTAAATGAGTGGCCCATATTTTGCTTCTTCACTACCATCAAACAAGCATGGCGGGTAAATCGTTTGATGGTGGTCAAGTTCGCAAACTGTCAAATGTCTGCGTGACCCAGAAGCAGTCAATACTTCAAGCAGAAAGTTGCGTGCCCTTCGTTTTGAGAAAACCACAGTCCGAGAGAGAGCGAAAGTTTCGCACATGCACACATCTGCATCAGACGTGTTGCTCCAGCCGTGGAATGTCATTATCGCTTGCGACTCGAGTTCCTCATCTTGTGTAGAGTTCACATTGTCATCAGTGCAGGTGAACTGACAAGTAAATTGGGAAGAGACAAAAACAAAATGAGGTGAGACCCGCGATGTCAACATAAAGTGCACCCTCAGTCTCACCAAAGGCTCACCTAATGCACGCACTGCACTCATCACAACATTTGAAGGAAACAGCTTATGGTAATAAAAACACTGGCTGCTGGGGTTATAAGACGAGCGGGAATTACTCTTAAACCCTTTCTAAGTATATTGAAACAACCATTGAAAAATATGATTGGATGGTTATTGAGTAATTTCGGACTTAGTAGGATACCGCCGGTAGAATGCTGAAGTGAAGAATTCCGCCATGTTTGGAATTGGAAAAACATGGCTTCCACTGCAGAGTGTTTATTGTATTTCTGACCAGATGACACCACATGATAGAGAATACGATGGCATGAAGAATGGTGGCTCGAGCAGAAGCATGAACATTCAAAACAATTAAAAAAGAAATTCGCATTTTAATGTACATGGAATCAGAAGAGGATACCGTATAAACGCGTGTAAGGGCCGCACTTTTTTTTCAGGAAATGAGGGCCAATTTTCAGGGTGCGGCCCATACACGGAACTTTTTCTTTTTGTGAACTAAAAACAACGTACCAGTTAGCGAACGAAGAGCGTTTATTGCAGTATGTCGCATGTGCGCTTAATTGTCGTCACTCGACGAGTCCTCTAACTCGGAGTACGAGATGGTGTGTTGCGGAGCACTATCATTCCACAAACAGTCATCTTCGGTGCCATCCAGGCTGTTGGATATCCCAGTGGCCTTAAAACTTTAAGACACAAGGTCCGTCGACACTGACAATACCCAACCGAGAACAGTAGCAAGCGGTGCCCCCTTCAGCTGTCTGGTCGGCGTCTGCTCATGGTTGCCGGTTGCCATCCAGCCCGTGTAGAGTCTTCGGAATTCAACTTTGAATGGTCGATTCACGCTCGCATCCAATGGTTGCAACATTCCTGTGAGGCCGCCTGGAATCACGGCCATGTCTGTGTTGACACGGCGCAGCTGCTTTTTCACCTTATCGGTGGCCGCCTTAAGGTGGCCGCGGAAACTATCCAACACTAAAAGTGAATGTTTGGCCAACAAAGCTCCCGGTCTGTTCTGCCAAACACTTTTCACCCAGTCAAGCACTAAATCATCCCTTCTCTTGGGCTCTAACTATGATGCCTTTGGGGAAAACTTCGCTGGCAATTCTTTTCCTTTTCAAAACAACGTACGGGGGTAGCTTCCGCCCGTCCGTGGTCACACAAGGCATCACGGTCCAGCAGTGGTGCTCAGCACCGGTTGTCCGCAAGGCGACACTCTTCTTGCCTTTTACTTCGACTGTGTAGTTCTCGGGAGAGTCAGACCACACAGGAGTTTGATCAGCGTTCGCCATTCGAAACAACAGATAATTGTGCTGATGGCGCAGGCCGATGACATGCTTGTGAAAACTAAGCACCTTGTCGGTATAGTCTTCTGGCAGCCGCTGGCACAGCGTGGTCCTTTGCCGAAAGGAGAGTCCCTTTCTTTTCAGAAACCTTCGCACCCAGCCAGCACTAGCCTTGAAATCCCCGGCCGGTATATTTTTTGCACGGGCCAAGGCAAGTGCCTTCATGTGCAGCATCTCGGTAGTAAGCGCAAAACCATCGTTCCGCATCTCAGTCACATACCGGAGCAACTCCTCTTCCAAATCGGTATACTTGCACTGTTTTCCTCGGAAAGCGCGCTTTTTGATGTTGGTGTTCTGCAAGGCTTTCTTCTGAGCGCACCAACGTCGAACACACTTCTCGTCAACGTCGAATTTTCTGCTGGCGGCCTGTTTCCCGTGCTCGAGAGCAAACTCGATCACCTTCAACTTATAGCCAGCTGTATAGCTATTCAGCTGCTTGCCCATCGTGTCAAATCGTAAACGTCCCGCAGAAAACTAGCTAGAGTCCCAGAGTCGTACAACGGTGCGCAAAACTCTAGCACATGGCAGGCTGAACAGCACAATAACCGAACAACGCACAAATACTAAAGTTGGTGATGCTAATGCAGATATGGATAGCACGTTTGTATAGAAGTGTCAGAAGTTAAAGATAAAATCCCGCTTTAACCTTTAGTTGGCGGGTGTATGAATACTACTGAAAAAACTTAAAATGTTTAGCCAACTTCATGAACATATTAGCATGAAGAAAACCAACAAATTATTCTAATGACGTACTATATGGTGGTGATGATAATTGCATTCTCTAACGCCATCTACTGAGAACGTCTAGTAACTCACACTCGCGCGCGCATTTTGAATACGTATGGGTTAAGGAAAGTGCGGATGCGGCCCTTACACGCAATTTTTTTTTAATATGTGCTTCTTAAAAACGGGATGCGGCCCTTACACGGGTGCTGTCCTTACACACGTGTATACGGTATGTCAGTTAGGCAATAAAAATAGTGGCACACTAATTGTCTTGAAACAGGAAGGTGTCGATCTTGGCTACTACATCACCGTAGCTTGCCTCAGCAAGTGCCGAACTATCTTTAAGAACGTTAGCTGCCAGTCAACGGTTGATCAAAAGCAAGCTTAAAAAACAAACAAAACTAGAAGCTGCTAAGCCACCTAAAAGTGTACTTGAGCCAGCTAAGGAAGGTCCCAGCTATTAGCCTGGCAGCTTTTAGCGACCGAAAAGGTTCCATTTATGTATATAACATGTTTGGAATACTTCTTTCTTGTTCTTGGCAAAACATTATTTGTATTTGTTGTAATGCACCAAGAGCCATAACTTCTGAATGGTCCAACATTTTTTAACCAAACTTCTCATGCTGCTTTCTGGAACATTAATATATGCCATGAACTAGGGTAATTTAAAACAACCACTAACTTTTGATGTTGCAAGGTTTCGGTTGATATACAACCTTTTTAATCTACACAACTCTGGGCTTTTTGGCCACAGTACACATAACATTGACAACAGTGCAAATATTTTAGTTCATTGCACAGCTTTTTGTATAGCTATATTCCTGCAAAGCGAGGTTGGTTTGTATCACACGATCAGTACTTATCGCTCTTTGCGTGATGGGCATATTTTGGGTTATTTCCATAATAAAGTTGTGATTAGTCGCACTTCTCTTGCCCAGCATACTTGAAGTGTGACTTTAAACAGCCCTTCTTAAGGCAAACACAAATCGATCAGTTTACAATCAAAATCTGAAGAAGATTTCCGAAAAGGTGGAAACATGCCTTAAAGGGGCCCTGAAACACTTTTTCAAGTAACCGTAGAATGAGTTCGCTATAAGAGCTTATTGCCTTACGAATTCAACTCTGCAAAAATTTTAAGAATTCGTCTCGTGCGAGTGGATTTACAAAGATTTGTCCCATGCCTTACCGCGGTGGTCTAGTGGCTAAGGTACTCGGCTGCTGACCTGCAGGTCGCGGGATTGAATCCCGGCTGCGGCGGCTGCATTTCCGATGGAGGCGGAAATGTTGTAGGCTCGTGTTATCAGATTTGGTTGCACTTTAAAGAACCCCAGGTGGTCAAAACTTTCGGAGCCCTCCACTACGGCTCTCATCATAGGGTGGTTTTGGGACGTTAAATCCCACATATAAATAAATCAATCAATCGAGATTTGTCGCATGCTGCAATTGTATTCCTTCTTTTCTCGTCCCGACCGAAGCGCTGGAAGCTAAGCAGGGAGGGATGGCAGGGGCAATGAAATACTTCATCCGCACCTTCTGACCTTGAGGCTTTTTTTTCTTCGAATGCGCGGCTTTTTTAGTGTGATCGTGCGCGCACGCATAGACATGTCGCGGCGTCATGCGAAGATTTTTGTAACGAATAAGCGCACCATGTTCAAATCAGCCAATGGCTGATGAATAGGCTTGCTACAAGTGATTTTCGAGCGTCTTCAGTCATTTGTCGAGAGAAGACAAAGCAATTTTTAGCTGACTTTGATAATTTATTGTGGATTTCAGGCCGCGTGCTGCACCATAACATTTCGCTCGCATGTTTTCTGGAGCCTTTACTACCGATCAGGAGCACTTTCTGACCATGCTCAAAAATTGTTGCAGGGACCATTTTGAAGGAACACTAAAGAGAAACAATGACCTGGGTCAGATTGACGAGCTGCACTTTAAAAACTCTAATGCTACATGTTTTACTATCATAAATTCATCATTAGCTGAGAATATGAAGGTAGAAATACCATTTTAAAATTTTCTGCCGATATCCTAGTGCTTGAATCTAAACGTACAGTAGAATCTCAATGATGCAACACCAGCAGATACAAATTCCAGAAATTCTTTAGTCAAGTTTCACAATGTTCATTGGGCCAAAATTCAGATTTTCGGAACACTTTTCCTTATTGTGGCTGGTTGTATGAACTTTAGTGCCGAAACCGTCGAACAAAGGTCGAGAGCAGCGTGCTCGAAGCTTCGGAAAGACGCGTGTGGCCATATGTTATGGCTGCGACCAGCTTTCATGCTTTTCCAAAAAAATGTGAAGCTCCAAAAGCTGCGGATTATTGGAATGAGTCTATGGCAATGGGAGGTACTGAAGAGCGTGGTGCTTTATGCAGTGCACTTCAAAGATGACGAATATAAGTACAACTGGTGTCTCTCCGCCGAAATACTGTTGAAAAAAATGTTGAATGCTGACGCAGTGCGTTCACTATTCAGCCACTGCAAACACAACAGTGCGATGCCCCAACTGGAGCTTAGAGAAACACCGGTGACGAAATGTATTCATATTAGACAGCTTTAGTATAGCGTAAATTGTTTTTATTAGCACGTTTCGCTCGCTAAGTTATAGCGTAACACCATTCCAGCGTCATCTATGATCACCTGATCAAAACTCCAAAAGCTGATCGGCTTGCTTCTAGTTGTGAGTAGTCAAAGCAGCGAAGTTCGACAGAAATATTTTGTGCTCAGTTCAAAGAAATTCAAGCACATAAACGTATTATACGAAAACGAATTGTGCTATGTTAGGTTTATTGTAAATGTCTTGGCCACAGTCAAACAAGTATTTACAGAAATTCAGGGACGCTTTTGGCAGATATGGGAATGTGCAAAACCGAGCATAGGTATTGAAAACAGCCTCTCTTATCATGTGTAGTTATGAATGAAATGAGGAAATTTGAAGCGTAAGCGAGCGGCATCATTTATTGTGAACTGGTGAGTTTGCCAAGACATCAGGACAAGACTGTAGGTGCGAGGCGGACAGTTGTTTAAATATGCGCTTTAACAAGCTCTTACAATCATGTATCCTTCACGGTGCATGTTTAAATTACTTGTTTTTCTCTTACCGTTCAAAAAGAAAACTCTGGAGCGCGGTCACGAAGCGCATGCTTCGGAGCTCAGAGCAGACGATTCGCCTGCATCGGTCGGTCTCTCGAGCTGCTGTCTACGAAACTTCTGGTCAGTTGTAATGCCGTTGTTTTTTCTAGTTTCAGTATCAAAAATTGTGTTGTTGACGAGTTTTTTTTTCTTGCGTAACCATGTGTTTCGAAGGTGAAATTCGGCAGGTGGCATTGTCTCCAGCTTGACTGCCTATAAATTGGATTTTTGTGGTGTGCACAATTTTGTCACAGTTGGCCTTTGATGCTCACGCGTTGAAATTACCCATGTGTATTCTTGCCATTCATGGGTAGATATGAAGTGTCAATCGCCTGTGGCACATACCCGCATACCAGTGGCACACACCCACCCGTGAGTATGTGCCACTGTCTGGCAGAAAGTGTTTGATTACGTATCAGACGAGGTTGTGTCATCTTTCATGTCATTACCAGTGAGTCGTATTCGTCAAACCATCTCACCCTCCGATACCACTTTTGGTTTCATCATCATCGTCAGCCTGACTACACTCACTGTAGGACAAAGGTTTCTCTTACGTTTCGCCAGTCAACTCAGTCCTGCGCTTGCTCCTGCCACTTTATACTAAAAAATGTCCTACCCTAATCTTATTTTCCCACCTAACTTTCTGTCTTCCCTTCACCCGCTTGCCTTCTCTTGGAATCATGATCACCGCAACTTAAAGGGGTGATCATGAGAGCACCCAGACATAGGCGGCTAGATAGATACTTAGATAGATGCCAAAAGATCCGGCAGTACGCAAAGAAATGCTTCGTATTTGAAAACGACTTGGTTTTAAAAGCATGTACGCAGCCAGCGCACGTGGATTGAAAACGGAACTACCGTTTTTTGCAACCACCACAAGTGAAACCGTGATTTTGGCAACACGATCATCAATAGCAACTACTAAACGAGGGCACGTGCCTAACGTAGTGGTACATTAAAGGCAATAAACACATAAATAAAGGCCAGAAAGTTTTCGGTGTTCTTGTAATCTAGTAACATAAGTTACTGTAATCTAGTAACACAAGTTTTTCCTCTCGATCTGCATACCTAGGTTATACTTTGGCATTCAGGTTTCAGTTGGTCTCAAGCAACGCTTCGACCTGCACTTTACTGACAGCTGGCTGTGCCGTTCCATCCAATTACGTGTGTCCCAGGAATAGACGTGACTTCTTTTGACAGAAATAGATTTTGCTAAGCTGCTTTTGATCCCAGGAAATTTTTGGAGATACGAATATTTTCGCCACCGTTTAAGACTCGGGGCTTCTGCTGTAGTTCGTGTGTTCGGCCACTCCAAGCTATCAGAAAACCACAACGCTGAATTTTAGAGCCCTTTTTCTTGCGTTTTTCTGTTGTTTTTTGGTGCAAAAAAAGAAGGGTGGGGGGCGGCGAATAAATCAATACATTACCCCCATTATTTTAGATGTCTGTGTGTGTGTGTGTGTGTGCGTGTGTGTGTGAGAGAGAGAGAGAGAGAGAGAAAAGGAGGGACAAATAAAACAATGTGACCCGCACCCCCCCCCCTTTTTTTCGGTGTTATTTTTTTCTCCTTTGGTGCAAAAAAGGTGAAAAACAATTAAATGCACCCTTTGCCCTGCCCCCTGTTGGGGAAATCTCCCGGTAAGAATCCCTGAACTTGGCAGGTATGATTGTATGGTTTTAGGCGTCCAAGCTGACCAATATTTTCTTACATTTGTTTCCACAGCTTGTATGGTCTCTGCGATATTTTTTTCTCTTAAATCTCCCAGATCGCTTGGCCGACATAATCAACGGTGATGACGACAGCTATGGCAGTGACGACGAAGATGGCGATTTGAATGGACCCGGAGTGGACCTTTCACGCCTTGCGTTAGATATGAAAAGCTACATGGAACTTATGGACCATGAACTGGCCGGAACCAATGTTGGGCTGAGCTTCGAACGTCAGCCGGTCGCCAAGCCGGCAGCAACCGAGGAGGAGGCTGATCCAGAGGCCAAATCATTGCCGCCCAAGGTGAAAGAAATTCTGCTCATTGTTTTCTGAGATGTGAACTATAAGACTGCAGAATGCACTACAGTTTAACCTTCATGAAATGCTAATGGCACAAAGTGTGTTGGGTTTAATGCTTTCTGTTCGCTCTATAATTTTTCATTGGCCACATACAGCATCAACAAGGTTGCAGATAATGCCCTAAAAATGCATAGCGCTACCTTCCTTATTTGCAGAAACACAAATAATGGCGTAGTAGGTTCTGTCCTTCATAGAAATTGTGATTTTTATTGCGATAGCAATTATATGGACACCCTCGACTGGAGTTTGCTGTCGGGGTCGGCGTCATACACTGTATGTGTATACGTATCTATGTATCTATATGTACATATTTGAAAACTCAAGAAAGAAAAATAATTTAGAAAAAGACTGCGGGGCACAGAATTGAACGTCCGACCTTTGGCTTGTGAGTGCGACGCGTTAACCTCTGAGCCACGAAGGAGTACCTCGTTCTACACTGAAACGACAAGCTATATATATATCTACCACTTACCGCTGGCGATGGCCATCCCGGGGGAGCTATCGTGTTTTCAGCATCTCCAGGGAGATAGAGCAATGAGTGCGGGTCGCCAGATCGTCACGACGTGGCGGCGCGCTCTCTTATCTTCTATGTGTACTTTGCCCATGGAGAGGAGCGCAGGATGAACGCTCACGCGTGTGCGCACTTATCTTGCAGTGGGGATAATTGTACGTCTAGGGCTTTCACCAGAATGATTTTGTTGTAGTTACCAGGCGCAAAAAGGGCGCACTTTTCAGACCCAGCGAAGTAACAACTGAGACGTTTATTTGAATTTATTGGGGGCTTTGTTTCAATCTGCTTGCCATTCTTCGTGTGACCTTCTAATTTGTTGCTATTGCGTTCATTGCTTTGCCTTTGTGGCAATGCTGTGACTTTTTGTCGTAGTCGATGCCTTTCAGAAAGCCGAAACTTTGAACAGTTGGCCTTTCCCTAACACGAAGCTGCGCTCAGAATTCACATTAAGCAGTGTCGTAATTATGGTTGCATTTTTTTTAAAGGGCCAGTAAACAGGCTCCGACTTTTTTTTTTACACCCCCCATACAAGCTTGGTAATTCATAGATTAGACCGCAGCGATCACATTTTCTGAATATTGCAGCGCTGCGTGCCACGCCGAGCCTCCATATTGAAAAAAAATTCCTGCCCGTCTATCCTACGCCTGACCGACCCCCTTGTACGAGCAGTGACGTCAACTCAGCGATCGGCGACGTGACGTAGCACGCAGCTCGTCGATTGGTCTAAATCAGATGTAAAAAACACTAGTGAAGTCAACTTCAGTTTCTGTTTCCAACCACAGCTACGAAACTGCCCCTTGTTTCTTGGCACTGCGGTGAAAGAACCAGTCTCGCAGTTGTCCCGTGCTCTTGTCCACTCCTAGCTCAACTACAGCGCCTGTGCGCACATACGAACGTACTTCGCCCTTGACATGAGCAACACGGGTAAAAAGCGTTGCTCTGTCGTCGGCTGCAAATTCAGCGACTGGGCAGTGGAGAAGCATAGGCACCGGGAGCTTCACGATGGGGCCCTGCGCGCTGCATGGCTGAAGCGAATCGGCCATCCAGCGACGTACGTTGGGGACCTGATCGTTTGTGGCCAACACTTCGCCCCTGACGCTTACATGGTTGACCCATGGCAAACGGTAAACAAACAACCACGCTTCGCTGCAAGCGGAAGTGCGTTGCGACTGATCGAGTTCGCGGATGACGTCAATCGCTGACGTGGTGTCACGTTGCCGCAGTGGGCGGAGTAGCGACGATGCGCTACGCCTTCCCCTTCATGAAAGGGAAAAGGGGAGCGAGACCGCGTGAAAATTTGAAACCAGCTTAGACCGATGTTCTAATCACTGCAACTTCCTTAATATAGCACGTATTTGCAAAATTCTTGCGGCGCCAAGTTCGCAAAGAAGAAGGGCACATATATATTTTTAAAAATTTTTTGGACCTCAAGGCTGTTTACTGGTCCTTTAAGGAATAGAGTTTATTGTCGTTTCGCCGAAATTCTAGCGTCGATGTCTATATAGCCATTGTTGTTTGTGAAGCGAAAAATCATCTTGTCTGTGACTGAAAAATCGAGAAAGGTGTAGTGCGCTAATTCTGCCACTCTAACTTAATCTGTAGAATGTGATATGAAGCTAACGACAGTAATAGTGTAAAAAACAGTGGTGCTTACGAAAAGACAAAAAATACAGACAGCATGATAGGAGAGTAATAATATTGCTCTCCTATCCATCAATATTTCATATAGTATTATAGAATATCTACTTGCCTAGCATTTGTTTTTGTGTTTGTGGGGTGCATCTTTCGTGGTGCGTTTTGTTTATTGGTTTGTTTTGGTATATATAATATACCAATTCACTTAGTCTTCTGTCTTGCTATTGAATACACTGAAACCTCATTATAACAAAATTGCATAATACGCGTAAATAAGTTTGTTATATCCAAAAATTCGTCATGAAGGTGTATATTTAGCTTTGTATCTATTGCAAGGCCATTTTTTATTTAGTTTGTTATAACTGGGTTTGATATATCGACGTTTGAGTGTAGTGACATACTAATTTATTTCCAAAACAGGCTAAGGAAGCACCGCGAGCCACGGCAGAGAGCCTCGATGAGCTAGACTCCGACGACGATGAAGAGGCTGCGGGTGGCGACGGATACCGGCCGATCGACGTTAACCTGACTGCACTCAAGAACATTCTCGAGTCGTACAGCTCCCAGGAAGGGCTTCCCGGTCCTGCTGGGAACCTTCTCTCGGCAATGGGGATCAGTGTTCCACGCAACGAGGATGACCAGTGAACATAGCGTCCTTGTGACTGATGAGTCACTGTTCAAGCTATGCGAGGCGCTCTACAAGTGTTCCAGCTTTATTTGTTGCTTCCAGTCTGGCAACAAATGCAAGATGTACAGTGTATTTTTGTTCCATTTGTTCTGAGTCATTTTTGTAATGTGTCTCCTTCCTGTCACTGCTTATCAACTGCTGCATTGTAAATTGTATTTAAGATAGCTGTTTCTTTTTTAATGACTAAAGCATACATTACAGAGGTAGCTGATATGAACCTTTCGTAAGATTGTCTTGCAGTGCATGCAAGTTTCTCTTATGCAAGACAGGACACTACTCTACTGTCACAAAATTATTTACCATACTTTCATAATGAAAACCTATAGTTTCTAGCAATTTATATATAAAAACACTTCTAGATTTTTATTTTTTGATAAGAATGTTGATAATAGTGACTGTAATAGTAAGCTGCGGCCAGCATAAGAAACTTTGTTCTCATTGTGTCTCAAGTGGTTGTAATGCGAAGGTAGTTTTCACACCCATGGAATCATAAAACGTGCATTATGGTAGGCAAACTTCGGTACTCAAGTAGTCAAGGGATGTGTTCCAATACTCACCGCAGATGTCTAAATGGATGGCGACCATCTTAAGTCTCATTCCAATTCTCACATAGCCGGCAAAATAGACAGATCAGAGAAGATGGCATCGTAGACAAACACGATCCAGGCTACTTTGCTGCCCAAACAAGATGGCGGCTCAGCGAATCGCTCAGATAAATCCAATCTCACCGGAAAGGTCGTCTGCACGCAAGCAGGCGCTTTTTCAAATTCTCAATGTGAGTAGCGTTCAATTTTTTTTTTATTTCAATACGAAATAAGCCAGAAAGCATAACAGTTATGTTTGTTTATTTTAGCTTTTTCTTCTCGACGCAAGGTAGAGCCTTGTCCCATTGAAACCGTCCAGGCGTGTTCTATTTTTCGAACATCATGGGCTTGGTGCTGTCTTCTAAGCCGTCTGCGTAGACAGTCTACGATGGTGTCTAACAATTAGAACAAAGCCAAGGTAGTATAGCTATTCGAAAAGTAATCAAGGCAGCGTTCATGTTGCATTTGCCTTATTGAAGTGGGCCAGTTCACGAAGCAGTCTCACTTTGGAGAAATCTTGAGACTCCTGCCAGGTCTAATGTAGTCGTGCTACGCTATTTGTCAACGTTCTATTGCCTTTTATAATTGTATTGCAGAAGCGATGCTTATGGGTTAAATGCAGATTAAAGCACCATACTTATCGGCAAGCTTGGGGAGGGACATCTTGACACTCGGGCTGGTTTCGGGTTCCCTACTGTAACACCTGCCTTAGAATAATTATTAAATAGTTGGCTCGTTAGTTCCAGTAGCTGATTTGATAATGGGGTACCACAACACATTCAAACGTGCCTGCCTCTATTAGTGCTGTCATTCATTGCTGAAAAACAGGCATTGTCTCCACTGCACCGAATTTCATCTCTTGCCATTTTATAGTTCTGCACATGTATAGTTCTGGAAGTGCTAATTGAACGGAAAGAAACTGTCAGTATTTGTTCTTCCACAAGCAAGCTGCTGTGTTATTACATGCAGTGTTTGCCGCTGTGTCTTCAGCGTGTGCATAGACGTGTGTATAGCAGTGTTCGTATTCCTGCCTGAATAAAAATGTCACCCGTGTGTGAGAATAATTTGCTTGGTGAGCGATAGATCAACATAAGAAGATGAATTCACTGATTCAGCTATCGTAGTAAAAAAATAATAATAATCACCGCCTAAGCACTTCGTACAAACGGTTGACCAGCGAAAGTTGAAACGTTCGGCCCCAGTGTTTAGTAGTGTGTTCAACCCGACAAGGCACTTAAGCTTATCGCAATTTATTGTTACATATTCATGCTTTTTAATGGGATTAGGCACACGTTTGGCTTGGGTTTACCACAGTGTTTATTTCACATGCTGCACATTGTGCTTCGCATGATCATGGTCACGCAGGAGTCTAATGAACGGTTAAAGGCATTTCGCAATGCGTAAATCACTGTGGTGGTCCTTGAACCACAGGTGGTCACAGTTGTCGTGACCAAAGCCAAAGTGCCGCTTGAGAAACTCTCGCTGGCGAATGCGCTCTCGCTATTGTCACGTTGACGCTGTCATGCCCGCAACGGTGCTTGTTCAGCGTGGCGTTGTTGCATGCATTTGATTTTGTGAGTTAGCTCAGTGGCATGCTTTGCAGGATCTGCCTGCTACCGCCACTTGAATTCTCGTTCACGATTTAGCGCGGATTGGAAGGCTGCCGGGCCTGTTTTTGTGCCCGGACTACACCATTGGCCCGGGGAACGCGAGCTCCCTCACATTTACACTGTTGGTGCTCTTCTAGAGTTGTCCATGGTTTACCAATGGGAAAGTTCTTAGTAGAAATTGAGATGCGCACGTACTTGGTGTCCTGGTTGTTATGGGATAAATAACGTCACTCGCAATCCAGCCAATAGCGCGTATGCTTGTGTACGACGCCGAGGAGACGGTAACTGATAGTAGTACAGCAAATAAAGAAATATCTTTATTTAGGCACGTTGGTTTATGTCAGAGGTACTGCACAAGATTATTACGTTTTGTAGGGGACCATGAAGTGTAGGCTGTTTCGCTGCTATGTAGTCAAAATAACGCACAAGAAAGGCACAAGCATGACGCCATGGTGGGGTCTTTCTTGTGTGTGTTGTCTTTACTAGCGACGAAATGTTGTACGGTAAGCAATACTAACTAGACCAAAAAGTCCTCCTCATGTGACATGACAATTTTTCAACAAGGGAAATACTTAGCTTGTGATAATATATAAGCAAAAGAAGGTGACATGACAGAGCATACACTATATAACTGGCAAATGATTTAAACTCCGACCAAAAAGTTTGTGAAGAAACCTGACGTTTCAGAACCGACTTGGTTCCTTCCTCAGGGTAAACTGGGACTACGTAGCAACGGCGTCTTCAAAGCAGTCGCGAGGCGGCTAATGACCCCCCCCCCTCTCTTTCGTTTTGCCGTGGAGTGCAGACCAGTGTGCATACACTGGCGGACGGGTTCCGAAAGAGCGGTTGATGTTTTGGGACGTTCGCTGTAACCTTCTCCTCTCCATATATAGCGAACGGCCCAAAACATCAACTGCTCTTTCGGAACCCTTTCGAAAGTTCGCGCGTCAGTTACCATACGTGTTGTCGTACCTCCTCCTGTCCCCATCTTACATGTCCAACAGTGGACTTGTGCTCATAAAAAGGGTGTGGTTGGTGCATTCCACGTTTGCTGACCTTGTAAGTTTACGTCAAGGTATACCAAAATAAGAAAACATTTGTTGAACATCCAAGCTAACATGGTGGCTTCCGTATGTCCTATGTAAAATTGTCTATAAGTGAAGAAAATCTACGGAATTTTTCTCTACATATGATAAATACTTGAGCTAATTATGATTGTTATGTCTTGGCTGGCCAGAATTGAAAACTGTCGGAGCTTATGAACAGGTATGACCATCCTTGTCTATACTAAAAGAATTGGTACTAGATAAAGTTCTCTGGATAATGCTGGAGCTCACAGCAATACTATCCTGCCTACCGTTGAGGTAGTTCAATGGCGTCCACCGCTGCAGTGTAGCAGCTACGGTGCTCGGCTGCTGACCCAGAGGTCGCGTGTTCGGTTACGGCAGTTGCATGTCGATGGAGGTGAAATAGTTGAAGTCCATGTGCTGTGCGATGTCAGTGCATGCTAAAGAACACCGGGTGGTCGAAATTTCCAGAGCCCTCCACTGCGCCGTCGCTTTTTATCATATCGTGGTTTTGGGACATGAAATCTCAGATATTATTATATAGTGGCTTGCACACTGTTCTGCAAAATGTGAGGTTGCGAGTTTGATTACCAGCAACGATGGCCTGTTTTAATGGCGCACATTTTTACATACACTAATCAAATATAAAAACATGTTCTAAGGGGGTCACTGCTCTTGACAACATTAAAAAAAATCGATATTGATAAAGCTTGGTGAGTTCGTGTATAATTGTGTGCAGATTTCAAATATGCTATTGTTTTTATATTACCTCGTGTAGTTCCTAAAATATCAAAACATATCATGTGCCTTTTTGAGGAAAATTATTTTGCCTAAACTAAGGGACTTGCCAAGTAAGTCATTGTATCACAATAACTGAGAATGAGAACTACATGCAATACAACAAAAATAAGCCTTTTAACTGATTAACAACAGTAATGGTGTGTTCGACTTTCGTTTGTAAAATCGGAGCTTGACATTGACTGATTTGAAACACTTTTGTGGTCTTGTAAATGACTGTTGCATCGTCATTTATGAATAAAAATGAACCTGGAATTTATCACGAACGCCAGATGCCAATGAGTTTAGATTTGGGCGCTCGTTAAGGAACACCAGATGGTAGGAATTTCTAGAGCCCTCTACTATGGCGTGTCTCAATCGAATCATGGCCATGGGACATAAAAGCCAAATTGATCATTCATTTTTATTAAAGGATACGTCGAACAAAGTTTTGAACAAATATCATTAGAGAACTAGTTGGTTCATAGTGAATCGCTTTGCGTACACAAGAGAGAGAGTCTTTATTTGTCTTTATTTTGTTTTGTAGTTTGCAACAAATATACTTTTCAGCCGACTTACTTGAATGCTCATGTTAGTGGTTTTGAATGATCTTGTTCAGATAATACGGCTTATAATTATGAATTATCAAATGACTTATTGTGAATTCCAGTAGCAGTTCTGAATTGTGTGAAGTGCCCTTGTTTGGCCCTAAAATAGGTGAGAATCCACTCAAAAGTGACTAGTGGAACATGTAATTAATTATATGTGCATCCTTAATTATTTTTATAGTTACTGCATATTGTGGCCAAAGAAGTGGCTCACAAGAACACAACAAACAGATAACATGTGAAACGGAATGTTTTAATACAGTATAATCACCATACAAAACACAAACTTTATGTCCAAGTCATTAAATAAAAGCAATACAATACAATTCATAACACTCATAACAGCTCTCTGAAGACTATTTGTGCGACTAGCAGTCAATTTGATCAAAACCTTCATCCACGAAGACGGATGTTAAAAGAAATTGCTTATACTTTAAAATACGTCTACGTTAAAATACTAAACAAAAAGGTGCAACCAGAGATTGCAGGAAAGACAATGAAAAGTTTGTTAAAAGATCACATCACAGTGTGCAGTATCTTCGAGGGTTTCAAAAATCCAATGAAAGTGACACAAGCTGCACAATGGACGGTATGATGAAGCTCTTTTGCAGTTGCATGAAAAAAAGAGCTGAAATGTCCGCATAGTCTGTATAGAATTTTTAAAAGCTTGTAAGAATAAAACTTGTAAAATAAGCTTGTAAGAATAAAATGCGTGGTCATGATAAAAAGCAATAAGAAAAAGAAAGCAAATGATGTCACGAAAACAGCTTGCTCCCTGCTGTTGCACATATTCTGGTGTACCACACTGAGTCCACATTTTCAACAGTCGCATGAGAATTTAACAGAATGTAGTGGTGCTCTCAGCTTGGCACTGAAGCCGGTGCCAGGAGCATCCGGCTTAAAAACTACACAAATCACAAGTCCAGCGGTCCCAAATGTCGTTCGCCTTCGCTGAGGAATATGTTGAGCGCCTTGTACACAAGGTACGCCCCTAGTTTCCGGCGCTTTTTTTCAGGCCACGACCGGACAATGCCATACAAGTCTCCTTTCTTCTGGTTTGTTAGCCGGCGCAGGCCGATCGCTTCGATCATGCAGGCTTCTCTCGTGTATGCCTCGACGGCCAGGGTGTTCTGGAAGACATGCAGCGACACTACACCGTTTCTCGAGTCCCAGATCTGCAGGATCTTTCGGGTCTTCTCAACCTCTTTCTTTTGCAACGACTTGTCCATGCCCTTTCGGACAAGCAGGGCCTCGCAGAGGTGACTGAATGGCCTGGACCGCTTGCCCTTGCCAACGTAGAAGACCGCCTTGAGGAAGTCGGCCATGCGCTCCGCCAGGGTCAGGCCGTGGGCCCTCAGGGGCAGGTTCCGGGTGACCCTGGTGTCCAGGAGGAGGTATGTGAAGGACCCCTTCGCGTTGCCCTCCCTCCAGTAGCCGTTGGGTCTAGGAGCGTCGAAGTCGCTCATCATGGCGATCTCCAGCTCCGCGTAGGCATCCAAATTGGCGGCGTTTAGCACCAGCGTGTGGATGTCCGGGGACACGATGTCGCGGGACTTGTGGAGCGTCACAAGGCCCGAGGTGAGCCTGGCGAGCCGATTCAAGTACACCACTCGCGTACCGTCCGTCACGGGTCCCGGCGCGTCACCCAGACTTCTGAGCTTGGCGAAGAGCTGTTCATTCGTGAGGCACGCCAGTTCCGGAGGCACGACTACGGTGTCGTTCTCGGGCCCGCTGCTGCTCACTACCGAGGTGCCGCTCGAGTCTGCCTCCGAGGACGAGTGGTAGTGCTCCTCTTTGAGGACAAACCCGGTTTCTGGGTCCTTGTGGACGACCTCGCAGAAGTCGCACGTTCGCGCTATGCCGGCCCTGTTGATGCCGTTGGAAGCAGACCCATACGACGCGTCGGGCGAGGCGAGCCGGACTCGCGCTCGTGGTCCCAACCGGTAGTGGGCGAGCGCGTGCCGGTGGACGTTGCGGTTCGAGTCGAGAACCGGACCGACGTCGTGACCGCAGCAGGCGGCGAGTTGCTCTCGAAGTTCCTCGTCGCTCAGTCGCAACAGCTCCAGCGACAAGTTCGACGACACCTGCACAGAATCGTCGGTCGAGTTGGCGACTTCGTCGTAGTAGCTGCCGCCGTCGAACGAAGACGACTCGGACGTCGCCGGCCAGACAGACGTGTCCTGGTGGGCGGCGTCGAAGTCGTCAGCTGCGGTTCCTCGTTGACGCTTCCTAAGCTGGGCCCTCTCGCCGTTGACGTATACGGGCGATAGGTAAGGGTGCGGGAACACGTAGGCCGTGTTAAGAAGGGACTCTGTTTCAGTGCTTACGTCAGACGGGCTTGACAGACACAGCGACACGTTCAAGTTGACGTCCGAAACAACGGAAGCGTCGTTCAAGTCTTCTGCGGGATTCGGTGACGCCCCGTTCACTCGAGGAGCCACCGCTGCGGAGTCGCCATAGTCTTTCACGGGGAGTTCGAGCAGCCCCCTCACTATACTGAGACAGTCCCAGTGTTCGTTCGCTACGAGAATGTCAAACACGTCATTTCCCGCGGGGTCCCGACGCCGAGGGTCACCGCCTCGCTCGAGGAGTCGTCGTAGCGCTTCTTCGTTGCCCGAAGCAGCGGCGATGTGCAGGGCGGTTACACCGTCTGCGCTGGCCGCGTTGGGGTCTGCTCCGCTGTCGAGTAGCTTGTCGAGGAACTCGGCAGAGAAATCGTCCACGCTGACGACAAGGTGCAACAGGGTCATGCCATCGTCAGAGTCGGGCAGGACGAAGTCCGAGAGCGCGCCGTGTCGCACCAGCTTGTCGAACAGCACCGAGTCTTTCCGTTGCAGCGTTTTGAACACAATGTCGCTGCGCAACAAGACGCAGCTTTCGCCGCCGCCTCCCGACCTCGGGGGACTCATGGCTGCTCAACGCTAAATACCGACAGCGGACAGTGTGGAACTCGCCAACATTGCGAACTGTTGTCGTACACACGGCAACATTTTTCGTAAACGGCGGCTTCCTCTACAGGCGTTTTTTTGGCATTACAAAATCACGTGACCAGTCCATATTGCATACTGGCCGCATGGCGGCGCGCAAGTCGGTGTTTGAATAACTTTGCTTCCGGTTTCGTTTCCTTGTTCTGGGTGTATGTAGCGACATAGCCTCCTCAGGCTATGGTAGTGATTAGGCACACGCGCGCGCACACCAAGGCGCTGACTTTGGACGGTAATAAAAACAAACGTCACTGTCTAGCTCGAAGTTTTACATACCGCCATTTTCGTCGTCACAGCACGCCTAAAATACGCGTCGCATTGCTGAATATTCACACGCTAAGTTTCGGTGGAGTAGAGGCGAATAATGAAACGTTTTTTAGGTCTGAAGCATTTTGTCCGTGCACTCTGGCTATCAGAGTCTCCTGTTTACGTAGCCCGTCACGTTGCCTCCTATTGTCGTCCGTCGTGGTAAAGTAAGTGGACGGCCTTTTCACTCGGAAAAAGCTCGGGAGAATGCGCGCTCGCCCGCGAGAGAGGTACGCCACGAGCGCTTTCCCGAAAGACAAATAATACGGCGCGTTCGTGGCCTTAGCCAAGGCTAGGCAAATATGCACTGAAATTGTATCGCGATACGATACAAGTTACTCAAGGGAGAGGTATTGGAGATAAAGGTACAAGATACCACCGAAACAATTGTATACTCGCCCATCGTATCTTATCGCAAATATGTTGTTACAGACCTACCGAGCAAACGCATATACACACAAAGCTCTACTTGAAACTTTCCTAAGTGTGACCAATTTCATTACTTCTTTATAAAATGTATGCTAGTATCTCAAGGCTTTCGTCCTTGTTCCAAGTACATTTATTTAGCGGTTCTTGCTTGTAATAGCGTTGCTGCTGAGCTTGCTGACCAGCTAGTCAGTTGCCATCAACCACACGAGCTTCAATAGTACCGGTGTCACATGAGCACTTTAATCGCGATCAGTTCCTATACGAATTAAGCACGTTAAGGATTAGGTGCTGCTACACGGTCCCTTCCCAACGCGATCAGGCCTGATTGGGATCAAGACCATGACCTACTACACTCCTGACCTGTTCAGATAGCGGGGTTCCTATGGGAGCGCGTGTCCCCGCTCTCGTTCAATCGCTCGCCGTAGGTGGCGCTACCTATAACCTGTTCGTCTGCTACTGTGCGGCCGGCAGGAGGGCGACGGACTGATACCATGCGTCTGCTTCTGTGACAAACTGCCTATACGTGTGATTGTTTTTTGCTGAAAAGGCTAACGTGTGCTATGTGTTACATTTTAGTAGTTAGGCTATACTGGTTGATTGACTTCTAAAGCTGTATATTTGCGTAGAAATGTCTTGCTGCATGGTTGTTTTTGCCATTCCAGCCTAAAAAAACTTCAATTTAGTATTCATAAAGCTTTTGACTAATAATGTACTCATTGGTAATAGAATATCAAACTGATTTTAGGTTGTTTAGGACGCGTCAGGTGAAACGCAGTGCCCCTGTTGAGCACTTACCTTGGACACTCGCCCTGGACAGGTGTTACACTTGTAGTCAATTGATAGAAGAGAATAATGCACATACGCCCACGGACGCATATCAAGGAGAGACACAGGAATTGAAGCTTTAACTCTTACTGTGACCTACACAACAAAAATTGTGCGTCAAATTTCGCTACGGGAGGTTGTCTGCTGGAACGGGGAGCGCTGGCCGATGCGCGTTTCTATGATTTTATATGTCCGTGCGATGAGACGATATGGTAAAGGCAGTGATGTGCCTATCGAGGGCAACACATTGCGACCCCAATAAAGTTTTTATCGTCATCATTATCATCATCTTGTCGAGCATAGTTAATAATAATAATAATAATAATAATAATAATAATAATAATAATAATAATAATAATAATAATAATAATAATAATAATAATAATAATAATAATAATAATAATAATAATAATAATAATGTTTTATTTTTCATCAATAGTTTGATGAAGGACAGCGGCAGGTAAAAGCTGCTCTTCGAAAGAGGCAGCTTGACATAGGCCCACAGACGCCTTTAGCACGACAGCACTGGCAAACAGTTAGCAATGTTATCTAAGCAACAATTACAAAAATATCAAGTTCAAATTCTAAAAATAAAAATAGCAACCATGATAACAATGTAGCAACTGCAAAGAAATCTTGAAAACTATACATGTGTATATCGTGCAATTGAGTTCGGGTACAGAGTAAGAAATCTATGCCAGCTTTCACATATTTATCAATTAACGTAGAAACTGTGTAGAACAACCTATCTGTGGAGTAGTTTGTTCTCGAAGTTTTTATTTTCCATGTTTCTTTATGTCATGTTTCGAACAAATTATTTGGCTGCAGTTTCGAGAGGTCGTACAAATAATGTCGACTTTCTTGAAATTGACGCCTGACCACCAATGCTAACTTAAAATCGTAGAGACGATGTAGGGGTGGTATTCCAGCCTGTTGAAACAATTCACTTCTGCGAGCATCATACGACCAGTAAAAAATTATTCTAATATACGTCTTTTGCATCAGGTACAGTTTTTGTAAGCGCGTGTTAGTCGTAGTCCTTCATACCAAGAAACAATAAGCAAGATGCCAACAGAACAGTCATTTATAAAGTAAGAATTTTACCTTGTATAGTAGAACAGTTTTGCCACTGTACACCGTGCCCTCTACGCGAGATAACTGACCCAGCACACTGTAAATGCGATCGTTTCAAAGCATATTGCTCGAAAATGTAACTCCAAGAATTTTTATACAATTTACTAACTCAATAATAGTATCGCCATACTTGAAATGTATGTTTTCATTAACAGACTTATTTTTAGGGCGGAATAGTACCGCCTTTGTTGTACTAGTGGTTATGTTTGATTGATAGCGCCCAAGGGCGACACCCGCAGTTGGGGCGCGTACACATGCTGAAAATGTGCCATTATACTCGTTTGTCAATGAAAAGCAGATCCCTCAAAGTGATATCAAGGTTTCTGCTAAAAGAATTTGGCGAGTGTATGCGTGTGATTCGAGCAATGTTACAGCACTTCAAAATGAAACAAAACACATTTGTCGCTTTACTTATGCGTGCCACAATATGCCAGTTAAAGCTGATGTTTCAAACAAAGTTTCTGCACTTTCGAAGAATATCCTACTTGCTGGCACACAGTGACGGCTTGTGTCTGCAATAAAGAAAAACATATGTACGCGTACAGAGCTGCGTGCATTTGGGTCATAGTTCAATAAAATGTGCTAGCAAGGTTCTGGGCGCGTACATGATACAATGGAGGCATGCAACTAAACTTTTAAAATCTTGCGAGATTTTGGCTTTTCGGCTATTCTCTTTCTCTTTCCTTCTTTGGCTGTTTTGTCCCGCACGTAGTTTGAGAAGAAAGGACGGCTAAATTTTTGCAACACTAGCCGCGCCATGGCTTCTCGGTGCTCGCTAGTAGCGCCTTTATGGCTGAAAAGAGGGTTCAAGGCCACTGCAGGTAGCACAGTTTGCACAAAAAGTGCCATCGGCCTCTTTTTGGAAATGGCCAATGGCGCAAATGCTTCCGCGGCCCTTTCTAGAGTGCTCACAAAGGAAAGAAATGAGATCGTTGGGTATGAAAGCCCTCCCCTGTCTAAATTAAATATCACAGCAGTAGCTGGTCCAGATGAGCTGGGAGCCTTGATTTTGCCGATGCAGTCGTCGCAAGTAATGCAATCCTCAGCTGCTTTCACCAGGAAGCCCGCTATAAGGCCAAGCGTGCTGGCCCTTATGCCTGGCTGTGGGGCACCTGTGGGAAGGTAGAAATGAAAAGTGTGCAAGAATTTTATCAGTATATAGATAAGCATGCATGATTAAACCGACACGTGTCCGTATACAAAATATGAGAAATATATATATATATATATATATATATATATATATATATATATATATATATATATATATATGTATATATATATATATATATATATATATATATATATATATATATATATATATATATATATATATATATGGATGTTAATGCGCTTTCAGATAACAACTGTTGCCCCACCGCGGTGGTCTAGTGGCTAAGGTACTCGGCTGCTGACCCGCAGGTCGCGGGACCGAATCCCGGCTTCGGCGGCTGCACTTTCGATGGAGGTGAAAATGCCGTAGGCCCGCGTTCTCAGATTTGGGCGCACGTTAAAGAACCCCAGGTGGTCGAAATTTCTGGAGCCCTTCACTACGGTGTCTCTCATAATAATATGGTGGTTTTGGAACGTTAAACCCCACATATCATCAAGATAACTGTTCATTCAGCCGACGTTTGCGTCGGGAGAGCCCCGTCTTTTTCAAGGTATAATAATATTTACACATTTTCCGCGTCGATTTATAGCTTGTCACGACAGGAGGGAAGAAGTCCGGAGAATAGTATAAACAACAACATAAAAAAAACTGAGGGAGAAACGTTTAAAAATAAAAAAAAATCTAGGAGAAGAAGCAAGAGAAAGACGACGGGATTAGGAAGGGACAGCATCTCAAGAGAGTAAGGCGAACGCAAACGAGCCATGCCATCATCTGTGTGCCAGTTATGACAGCGATTCAAAACCGCCGAAAATTTCTTCCCCGATTGCGGGAAAGGGACGTCGGTTAGTCGAGTTGTGTGGGCGCCTGGTGAAAGCATGTTATATTTTTAAATGTAAGCCATAGTACCTGCTTGTACCATGGACTTATCGTTACATACATACACAGTATAACTGATTGAGAAGCATGTTTTCATCTACATCGTGCACTGACGCAAACGCTGCCTCACGCGGCTTGCATGTAACACAGTAAGCAGCGCAGAGTTTATAATATATGCATAATATCGTATAGTGGGGAATTGTTGGACGGTGTGTAATAATTTTTAAATAATGTAAATCATTCCATTACACGGAATCAACGAGATATGAAAAGCGCACCACGGCAAGTCTGCAGGGCTTCTAGATGTGGCCGCATCGTCTGGGTTATAGTAGCAGATGTCGATGCCGCGCACTCGCCTGACGACCCTTGA